CCAGGATCTGAAACTCGAATGATCTGGCTTCAGAAATCTACCGACGGTGATGCCAGATGGCGCCACAATCCCCTGCGAGCGAGTTCAGATGCCAGTGAAGAAAAGGATTCATTTCTATCCGGAGTCTCCAGTCCAACTTGAGTGGACACTCAATCCCTTCAGTCTGATTGAGGAAATTCAGAGGTATCCCATCTTTAAGATTTCCTTGATTCTTCCATCGGTTATGATCGGCTGCGGCATCGCGGTTCGACTTAATCAGGATCGGCAGCGTATGGGTTTGAATCGCTCCTGCCTCCCCTTGAAAGAATGAATCAGCGAAAGACGCTCCTGGAGACCTGGGCACGAGCGACAACGAACATGAGCGCCTTTCATTATTGAATGAATTATTATCAGGGTTCCTTTCCCGACGCTGTTCTCCCCCGACATCCGGATGAGAATGAATCCAAGAGCAGCATTTCGACTTTTGGGTTGCCCGAGTGTGCTCTTGCGGCGGGAAAAGCTCAGGTAGACCGATTGCCTCGAAGATGTCGCAGTCGCTCTTCGCTCTCGCGGTTTAGACATAGGCTCATAGAATGTCCGATGTGCAGGAAATATAATTGCGATATCATATTGCCTGATCTCATTCTGATGAACTCATAGCGTCTTACGAAAGCTTGCGTAATGCGAATTCGATCCCTGCAGTTCTCCACAGACGCTTTCGTTTGCTCTGGCAGTCTCAGCGGCGTTCTCGACACTCATTCTCTGAATCATTTCTCATGCTCTTCTAGAAACATTAGTCATATCATTTTCATGCAAACTCCAAATCCTCAACTCTTGAGAAACAGCTCCCAAAAGCGATAAACGTCAATGAGAATTCGAATAGGCTAGGACGATGATGCTGACTTCACACCAGCCTCTTCTCCGAGAAGCAATGCTTCCCTCGATATTCGCATTCGTCAGCGGAAAGGTGTCGAGACTCCAAGAGTTTGGTTTCCTCGGTCTCTCGGGTTTTTTGCCGGATCCGTGGACTTCCGGGGAAGGGTAACCGAGGCATTCGCTGACTGAGAGACGCAACAGTTTCAATAGTTGAAGCTTGAGTGCGAGGGTACCGGAGTGTCGTGCTGGCCCTGTCATCACAGAAAATGGGAGAACGGCTGGCGGGGACATTTAGTCCGCACGGCCATTTGGAAAGACCGGCTTCTTGAGACGTTGACTCGCTTCCAGAGAACAAAATTGTGATTGCATTCCGAAATGGGTAGCAGGGGACGGTTGGATTAATTGTCCCATGGTTGGACACTGCTTTCATGAATGAAATTATCGACGATTCGATTCGTCGCGGGTTCCGAATCCAGTTGAAGATTTCCTAGAGAAAGACTCCGGGGGGAAAGGAGGGTTGGGGGGAAACGTGGACTCGGGTGGCCCGAGGCGCGCACGCCCTCTCCCGAAGTGATAGCATTCTCAAACTCAAGTTGACGGCAAAGGTAATAAACTCTCGGGTCCTCCTTGAACTTAGTCTGGAACGTGGTTGACAGAGTAAAGGTAAGTTCATTGAAACTGGCGGGTTCAGCCTTCGAAGACCGAATCCTGTTGGACAAGTCACCGCTCGGAACAGACTCAGCTCAGACTCCCTCCACCGCTCGCCTCGGTCCCGCTTTCAGTCATGAGGTGAAAACTGAACGAAACACGTCGTCGGATCCATTCGCACGAATCGTACGCGATGCATCGCTGAACGACAAGGCAACGTTCCGTCAATGAGTGATGCCCTCATGGGTAAGGTGGGCCTCATGGATTTGCTCCACGGTCGGTGGTTCGCTCCCACGATGAGAACCCGCTCACTTCCGTTCAATGAAAACGGACCGAAAATCGGCAGTTCTGTCGACGATTCCTGAGTTTATCCATCTAAACATACTTGCATATGTCCATAAGCAGCTCGTGAGATATCCTCCAAAGCGGTCGCGAATATTCTCTCAATTCCCTCCAGCCACTTGCAATGATCCAGCAGTAATATGACGGCTCCCGTGACTCCTCGATAGCACTGTGATCGATAGCGTCGAGTGAAGCCCACGCACTCACAGAGGCGCGCGCGAAGTCAGTGATCAAGTCCCGAAAAGATCGCCCCTCTATTCTGCTCCGAATCATGTAATAGTTGTTCACTAAATTCTCCGCCGCGTATCCGGCTGTTTGATTGTGAGGTCTCGAATAAGACGCGCCTTACCGTCGGCACGTCATGACTCATGAGGCCTCAATGAAGGCGCAGTACTTTCATTCATCGGCAGTCCTTTTCGGACTCAAAGCAATCTCATCCATGAGCAATGCTCAGAATTTCGGCATATTTCTGGAGTATCATCCGGAATCGGAGACTGAACCGGGAAATATCCTCCTCAACTCGTGCCGAACTCTTCCCAACCTCATGATTATGTCGAATTACGAATTGCGCAAGGAAATTGCGAGTAATCATCCGGCGGGTGATTTCCTGGGAAATTAGGAGATGACGTTTCTGCGCACAGAATACTCAGGCAAGAGCCAGGCGGTGGCGAAAGTAAAAAAACACAAGATTCCTCCGGGGCCTCAGCGGAATAGACACAGAGGCTAATACAAGCGAATGGGGGAAGATTTACAGCTCAGAAAAGTACCGATGTGGACGTCGTCAGGTCGTCAAAAATCAGTGAGAACCTGCGGAACAAGTCCCTCACTGATCGTGCACGGGAATAAGCCTCCGAAACTTTCCGATTCTGCTGGGATCACGCGCTGCCATTCTGCTGTGAGAAAGCATCGGCTAAAGATCGTCTCATCCGACCCTCCGATCCGAAATCGATTCCTGCTCGTGCGCCTCGCTCAAGTGGGGGAGTCCGTGATTCTAGTCGCTCATCATTTGTTTTGTTGTTCCATCAGTCAGACTGTGATACGAGAGCGGGCTCGAAGGACCTAGGGAATCTGCTATGCTCAATGGATTTACATAAAGCGTTCATTCAAGTGGGGATTCGATGATGTTCTGCCGAAGCTATCACGTTCGGATCTGTCATTAAGGATTTGCCTCAATTCGAATTGCTGTTCGGGAACCGACCGCGCTTCTGAGCTATTTATCTTTTCGACAACTTAGTGCGAGGGAAACGCTCCTTGTACCAGATCCAGGATACAGCACTCGCATCATTGGAGACGTTCCCCAAAGATTTTGGAATCGAAATGCCGAAGAATATTGAATGAGATTCTTTGACTCGAGCGGTGCTAGACCCGCAGCGCAAATATTTGAAGAATTTACGAGATCGATCATTAGCCATTTCCATTCATATTCATCCTTTTGGTGAAGTTCATTATTCCATTGAAAATCTCACTGAAGAGATTTCGGTCGATCAACTGGAGATGAGATGTATTATATTTTAAGATCGCCGGATCGAGCTGAACGAATTAGCAGTGATCCCGCCGGATCGGAGATCCATGGAAGAGATCCCGTCCCCGCCGGCTTGTCTAGGGAGTGGAAAAGGTTCCGACGGGCAGCTCCGGTCCTGAGCCGAACAATACCGTTTCACGGCCACGTTGGATACAGGATTTACGATAGTTAAAAAAAAAACGCTTATCCGAGGATTCACGGTATCTTCGAACCCTCTCCCCGTGACTTGTCTGGTGCATTGAAGAAGAGAACGCCAGCTCGAATACGATACAACTCGGCGATCGGAAGGTTTCTGCCGTCCGTCACAAGCCGTACATTACAGTCCGATAGACTCCTCTTGAGCCGTTTATTTGTTCTCACGGCACGAATGAGAACACGAATGATTGAGGGAATCGGGCCGCCGAAATCGTCTCAGCTGACGAAAAATTCCCTCGTGGGATTGATTTTGTCCGAATCAAACATTCTATGTAGCGTGAGCGATCCCCGCATGCTCCGATCTTCGACTCGATGGCAGAGCTAGAGTATTGTGGGTATTCGCTTGGATTGTCCCCGAAATTCGCCGAACCCACGTTGAGAGCACGAGCTAGTATTGAATACTCGTTGCGTTCAGCACAGGTGACCTTTACCTGCCGAATAGTCGGGCGGCGTCAGAAATTGTTGCCTGTTTCAGATGCCCCTCGGTCTTTGATGGCACCGAGGAATGCTGCGACTAACGAAAAGAGTACTCAACGTCTTACGCTCCTCTCTGGCACTCTGCCCTGCATCGGCATCAGCCCCGGCCGGAGCTCCTGTTCGGGAGGTGCCACCGGACACATCGTGGGTCGCGACGGAAATTCCGTCATCCGTACCCGAGGCTCTCGGCGAGCTTTGCCCGAATGGGTTTTTTCGTGGAACGAGTCGATGACTCGGTGTTCTGCAGCATACTCTTCAAGGCCGCCTGTCTTGTGTAAAGCGTCAACAAGATGCTGCTCTTAGCCGTAGAGGGCGCTCCGTTCGCCAAATAAACCGGCTTAGCCCGGCATCATCAGGTGCCCCCGGTGGTGGTTCGATCCTCCGTCCGTCGTCTACCTGATCAACGCCATCGTCATCGTACACGACGCTACGGAAAGCAGACGGGTGGACGCGACGTTTTCGCGCAGTTCCGATGGCGACTTCCAGTTCTGGGAAGTTTATCCACAGAACTTGTGAGAAATGACGATGCCTATCAACGGTGCTCGACTGAGTGGAAGCAGTGGAGGAAACTGACTGACTGAGAGAGACCGAGCCTCCTCTCTCCAGGCGCGCTTGTCTTTCGTTGGATATTTTATACATTTAGTGTTGGTTCCGAGTTTGAAACCGACCACAGTGAATGACCTCAGCAGTGTCTTCTTCTCGGAGCTATCGTGGTCGGAGCGGCGGCTGCGACAAGCAGTTTCTCTTCTCACCGTTTTAATGCTGCCACTGTCGTTGACGATGTGAGAAAATTTTCGTCGAGAAGATCATGGTGTCGCAGTGTTCTCACGGACGGCCAACTCTGAAGTGACTGCATGCATTCGCCGTCAGCTCAGAAATGTGTGTTTAGCCGAGGTGCCGCTGTTGTTGTTGTTGTTTCTGTTGTTGCCCCTCCTCACGTATACGCCGAATAACTCCTACGATGAATCTCGAGTTTCGTAAGAGTCTCCGACGGAAGAAGACTTCGACCGTCCCGCCGCCGACGGTCGAGCGTGATGTGAACGCCGAGATCAGTCTCAAGGGCTGGCTCTCCCGACTCGAAGGATCTCCTCTCAAGCATTGGAAGAAACGCTGGTGTGTTCTGGCGCAGTACGCTCTGTTCGTCTACAAGGACGAAGACGAGCAGAAGCTGTTGACTTCCGTCCTTCTGCCAGGATACAATGTGCGCGTATGCACGAGCCATGACAGAGTGTCGCATAAAAACGCGTTCGTGGCCGAACACAGCCAGATGAAGTCGTTCTATTTCGCTGCGGACTCGAACGCCGCCATGTGCCAGTGGAGGAACTCGATGGCGCAGGCGGCTACCGTGCAAATACCCCCGCCCGAGCACATCAGTCCGCCTCCGCAGGCCGTCTACGAAAGAGACTACGGTCGATATTTAGCCATGACGTGCGTGACGCGCTCGCCGATCTACGCGAACGCTCCGCCGAAACCCAAGAGACTCTCTCCGCCGAACAACAGACCGAGATCGGCGGATTTCCTAAATGAGCAAGATCCGCGTCGGCCAGAGCCACTGCGTCCCCATACGAGCATGAAAATGTTCGATCCCCATTGGGGAGCGCCAGCTCATCCGCGGAGGCCCAAGTCGTGTCTGGCCGAACCAATGTTCTCCGATTATCGCTCTTCCCCGACCGCGTCGTCGGCGAGGAGCAAGCGCATCGATAGCGCCCCTCAAGACATTTACGGGTCCTTGCAAGCCCAGCCCCAGATCCTGCATCCTGCGCCCATCCGACTATCCAACGGGAGGTTCAGTAGTCCTTCGACATCGGCGTCGTCCACGCCCCCTCCGTCATTCAACCGTCACGCCAACTTTCACAACAGCTCTGAGTGTTATACCCCGCCACAGGCTAACTTCAGTAGTCTAGCGCACTCGTTGAACTCTCTCAGTCGACCTTCAGGGCATCAACACATCCCGCAACAGCTGCAACATCCCCAGCAACCGCCATCTCATCAGTACCCCCAGACCCGGTTCCAACCGGCTCCGGACTTATCGCGAAGCACAAATAATGTCATCATGTCTCCCCGTAGTTCTCTCAGAATCGCATCTCCCCACAGGAAACCCCCGACAGGGAGAACGATTTCGTTTGCCAGTTCCATAAGCGGCCTCGATGAGATTCAACCCTCGAAATTAGAAATGTTCCGCCAGCTACCTCAGCCGAGCTATTCTACGAAGTCGCTGTACGATTCCAGAGACTTGAGTCTTCACTCGTCGCGTGATCTGCAATCTCTCCAGAGCTTAACCGATAGCCAGTACTCTACGGCTCCGCCGGAGTCGTCGCTGCCGTCTCTAGAAAGCAATTCCGACGTGATGATGGTCGTACCGTCTCCAGTGCAACATTTCACCAACGTTCCTCCGGCCCAGCTGCGGATGCAAGCCGCCTATTCCCCGAAGCCCGAAGTGAGATCTTCGCCGCCGAAATACAGCGAAGCTTGTTTGAGGTCGGAATTGGCTCAGAGGATAAACTCGATCTCTGAATCTGCGGCTTCGTCTAATTCTCCGCTGAAGAAACAGGAGTCCTCCTCACAAGGCCAGCATCGATGTTCGACGCCGACGCGGCCCGAAAATTCCAGCCGAAAGCTTTTGTTCGACAAGATCACGTGCTCTCCGGTCAAGACTCCGTTAGCTGAGAAGAATCGACCCGAAGAACCGTACGCTTACGGACGTGAAGACCTGTTGAAGGCCTCGCAAATTTTCTACAGTCAAAACGGCACTGCAGCCGTGCCGTCGGCGAAACTCGCTGCGCCAGCAGCACCCACAGCAGCAGCAGGAACAACAACGACCATGACAACAACAGGTCATAGTCAACCTGTTGGCACCGAGTCGAGGCATCTGAATTCGCTCGATATTTCGTTCCAGTCCAGCAGTCACAACTCGGTTTTCGAGCACGACAGAGAAGCCGCCCCCGCGCCGATGCTGCCGATCATGTCACAGATGGATCGCACCAACTATGCTATTCTCAAGCAGGAGATCGAAGGCTCCAAAGTTCTCGACACGAACAATAACACGAATTCACGTAACGGCTTTCGCTCAGCCAGCGAGAGCGTTTCGTCGAACAACTCCCAGAATTCGATTATCAAAAACCTTAGCCGTCCTTTGTCTCCTGAAAGTTCTCCCGTGAAAGAACTCTCCGACGCAGACATCGAAAAAGCTCCTCGACAAGGAACGGTTTCCGCGAAACTCGCTTTCTTCGAAGCGAAAACAAGCCCGGAACCCGCGCGTCCCAGATCGACTGTTTTGAACAGTAGTGCCAACATGAGCAAAGTTCCCGATCTCATCGACGAGCTCAGAGAGACTTCTGCCAAGAATCGCGTCCATGTCAATAATTACGTGACGACAGCCAGCTCCGAGGATATTCTGAAAACTATCACTGCCAACAAACACCAGCGAAGTTTATCGCTGCTCGAAGGACCGACTCCCGACGTTGTCCCCACGCAATCTCCTCCTTACTATTATTCGGATCTGAGTTTATCGGCGCGGAGCAATTCCAGAGACAGTCTGCGTGAGGTCGCAAAATCCTCAGCGAGTCGGAAGCAAGAGGCCAACAGCCAGGAGCCCGATCCGAAAAGTCCGAAGAGTCAATCTTGCGAGAATCTCCTCAAGAAACAGTCTTTGAAACTACCCGAGATCACTCAGTCCGCGTCTTGTCTGCTCGATTGCGAACCATTCTACGAGAATATCGGTTTTGGCTGCAAGTCGAGCGCGGTCAAAGGTCCAGAGCCGCAGAGTTCTCCGGCGAAAATTTCTTTTTTAGCGGCTAGCTCGACACAGGCGCAGAAGACAGCCTCTGTCGATGAGCTGAACACCGGATCCGAGTCTTCGCAAGAATCACTGCCATCGAAGTCTGCCGTCATCAGGCAATTCTGTGGTCTGTTTGAAAACTCGTCCCCTGTGAACAACAGCGATGAAAACGTCAACAACAACAATCTCTACAATAATAATTATCACCACCGATACGATGGCCGCTCGCTAGGCCCTCCAGATCTCGTTCAGTCGACGCTGAACTCCTCCGCCGACGCGGGAGAGCACGGCAACGAAATTTTCGCTCAAATCATCAACTCGATCAAGCGTCCGTCGAAAATCGAAATACCCGAGAGATACGTTTCGGAATCGGACTCTGAGGCGGATTTCACGGCGGTCGAGAGACTCGCTCGTTACCATAAGGCCGACACGATTCGCCGACGGATCGCCGGCCAATCGAGGGATCAGGCTCATAGACTCACAGTGAATCAAGTGATTGCGAAACAGGCAAAACACGTCAGTAAGATCGTAGCCGCCCAGCAATGAGAGGAATCCCTATGATTGAATTATAGGTATGAAATGCTTATACATAGTGCGAAATGACCGAAATAATAAAAAATTATAACGAATAAGAATACATGGATCCCCGCAATCATTCAGTTGAGGGACCGCTCGTTCAGAATCGCTGCTCATTGGTGTCTCCGTCGGTGCGCAGCAGCCGGAGTTAAGTGTGAACATTGCACGGAGACGAGCGAGACGAGCGAGAGTTTTTTCGAGAGGCCTGTAAATAATTTGTCGCTCAAAGCTCGAAGGAGAAGCGACATTGTCATCATCAGTCGGTGGTTCAATAGCAGCTTCGATCGGTGAATTCGCTTTTCGCGCGGATCCAGAGCTCTCGTGACCTAAATATCGACCTTCTCCGAGCCTCTCAATACGATCAGCACTTCTGAAGAACTTGTAGCTGTCAGCTGCTTCACAAGTTAGGTCAGCAACCGTGGAGATTCACACACTACTCAACGCATGCGGAGCCACGGCGGAACAGCGTGGAACCGCAATAATGAACCGTCGAACACACCCAGAAAATTGCTCTGCCGACATTGCTGGGCATGCTCATGTTTCGTCGGGAGGAAGGAGCCGACGAACGATTTTCCAACATTAGATACGGCCATTATCATGAGCATGGCCGAAATCATCGAACTCCTCACTATCGGTCCTTCTGATGCCGGAGCCACAAAATGACTGACTGAGTACGGTATCCGCTCTTAGATAAACTTCCAGGGACTGAGCCCGCAGCTGAATCCCCCTGGCTTCCGGTGTCGTTTGGTTCCGGCGAACACGAGAGGAAGTGTATCGACCGAGTAGCGAGTCGAGAAACGAGAGATCTCGGGATAAGCTTTTCCGTTCCATCCGCCTGCCACAACATGTGAGCATGTCAGATGAATTGGAGCTGAAACTTGAGTCTTCTCGGTGGAGCGCGACATTCCCCGTAATAAGGAGGATGGAACTGAGAATCCATCTCCTGAGCGAACGAGGACGCTATGCAGGAGGAAGGTGTCCAACTTCCCCGGATGCTCTCACGGCCCGATCCCTCGAGATCTCAACTTTCGAATGATTCTCTTCCACGTCCCTTCGGCCCCAGCCAGATCCCTATGATCTCATCTGATGTATTTAGACTGAGAAAGGCGACAACTGATTCCGACCAAATCTAGATCTGGAATTTCGCTTAAATCGAAAAAACTCGACTGCAAACGTACACAGACGATTTCTTGAACCAATTAGAGCTCAGCGTCGAACGGGGAACGAGCCTGGAAGACGCGGATCGCTTGTACAAATACTCAACATCGAGTTTCCCCTCTCCGGAACCGAGCCGGAACAGTCAGTTCCGAGAAAAGATGTAGATTCTAATTTTAGAAGCTACCCTTTGTGGGACAGCCAGCGGAGAGAAAATCCAAGATTCTACTCAACCTGAAAAGGACAATTCTAAAATAGGTACGGGGTCAGAACCCGGAACTCTTCTCCACATGCCGCGAGAGACGGGGCTCTTCTCAGTGCGTCGGGCTCGGGGATCGAGACGGCTTAGAGAGCATTGAACCACCGGCGCTGATCGTTCTCCTTTCCCAGAGCCGAGCCCGCCGGGGAGATCGCGGCGGAATCCGGTCCGATTCGTCTGTGGATATCAACACGTGATCGCTCATTCCTGCCGGAAATTCCCTGGAAGTTGGGAGATTGTCGATATGAGCTCTAAGGGTCAAGGCTCATCACAAAAACTGATTCTCGGAGCTCGGCGCTGATTTTCATAGGCGCAGCAATGTCCAGAAACGGTTCTAGCAACGACTCCGTCGCTTCTCTCCCACGCGCTTGAGGCTCGGAACGCCCCTCGGTCCACGACAAGCGCCGGCCGTAATGCAGGAAACTCAAAACTCGCCGAAGTCGAAACGTAGGATCTCGAAGCACCTAGAAGACTCGAGTCGAGCTTCATGACTGAACTCATACAGATCTAGATCAGCGGTTCCCGATTCCTTTCCAGCACAAGACCCCCTCTGAAGTCCCCGACTCTGCTCGGAACCCTTTGCGATGTCATTGCGAGAGGACGAGTCGGTGGCTTCGCCAAACAACAATTTTTTTCCTCATTCTTATCGTTGACCAGTATCGCTCACTCAGTATAAGGAGAGATTCTGACGTGTAATAGCTGGTCGATAATCTTGTAAGCTATGTCGCGTATGTATCGTATTTCCAAAGGATCGTGACATGATCTTTTTTCGTCGATCTCCGGGACCCCAAGAACGGCAGCCGGGAACCCCTAGGGGTCCGAGAGCACACTTCCGGGCATCCCTGGGTCTAGATGAAGAAACTGGACGATCGGCTGTTCGAGACTCGGACTTCAGGTGAATTTCCGAGGTCCTCACCTTCTATACCGAAGCGACCCTAGACCATTGCCGACTTGACTTGGATGGTCGAAATTCGTATCCGGACCTGCACAGCTACCGAGTCGCTCACGAACGAGTAGTGAAATTCTTTATTCTAGATCCTTCTAGTGAAAGCTTTGGCCACGAGTGTCATCAAGGCCACAAGCGAAGTTTTTGCTTCACTTTATGCTTCAACAGAAGGAGAGGTAACCGTGAGTTCCGTCGTTGAACTCCCGAATCGAAAATATTGAATTTGGCCCTCCGTATGCGTTCTAGGAAGTCTTGAAGACAGATCAGCGGCAGATACAGATCGTGGACGGCTCTCGGCAGCTTCTTCAGCTCCTTGGAAGCTTTCTCCACGTGTAAGTGAGCGTCGGCGGCAACCTCGAATAAGAGCTCCTCGAGACCTGCCTGCGGTGCTCTGAGGAGCCTCTCTTGCGACAGACCGTGCTTCGCCATCAGATCCATGGGCAGGTAACAATGGCCTTTAGACGCATGATATGGGACAGCTCTGCAAATAGATTTGGAACAGGATGATCAGGCATCGTCTGATCTGGAAGTTGCATTTTTAATTGAGCGCGAATCACGGTACGAACCGTATCATATTGGTCAGCCCTTGAGCTTTGCCGAGATGGCTCGCCGTGTGGTCACAGTCGATGCTCTTGAACCCCTGCGACTCGAGGATCAGGTAGTAGACGGGCGTAACGCTACTTTCGGCGTATGTCTCGGTCGCCGTCAACGATTCGAAAGCCGAGTTCTTCGCATTCGCTTCGCGGCTCTCTATCAATCTACGGATGGATTCTCGTTGGATTCATGCTATCATTCATGATCATTCTGACAGTGAGCTCCACCGACTGTGAATATCGGCTCAGGGACTGACCCCGGACCAATCCTAGATACCTTGAAAACCATTGCTTGTTGATGGTCGATTGTGCTGATGAAAGAACCCACAGGAGTTCCAGGGCCACTGGGTGCTGTGGTGAGACACCCCCGTATATCTGAGGACATAACGATCATTACTGTGATAAAATTCTCGGCCTCTGATGATAATCGTGCTGCTCTTCGATCGTCAATTGCAAGTTCTCTGATCTCAAAAGTTCTGGATCAACTCACTCTGTTTATTGTTTCCCTCCAAAAAACGAAACGACCCTGACTTGTCGTCACGTTGGTCACCTGATCTCGTATAGACGCTAATTCTGCGTTGAAAGCGCGAATCGCGAAAGCCGCCCGTCGAGTATCGCCTGAAAAGTTGCATGGTTCTCGGAAGTTGTAAAGACAGCCGCCCTGACATATGTCAGGAGCATTGTGAATTGACCACGGTGAATTAGCGAGAAGCGTCTTCGTCCCAGTAAATGACGGAAAGTGATTAGATACAGAACGAGCAAGTTCCGCTATCTTCGTCATATCATTCCGAGAACGTACGAGCATCAAATGAGGATCATACGAGCGGCCCGCTCACCTTTCAGCAGAAGGGTGCATAGATAATTTTCATAGTCGAGCTTCTTGACAAGGTCCGCACAGTACGCTGCCGGCGATTGAGACTTGCGCGATGAGTATTTCTTTGGGAACCCTGTCTGTATCACCAGTTTCGCGCTCCGTCGGAACATATCGTGTTTGCGGAAGCTATTGAGTCTTCCGCGCTCTCGTTAATCTATTTGTACTTATGTTGAACAAAGGAAATGTTCTCCTAGCGCGGTCTGGTCAGACGAGGACGCAGCATTCGGAGGTCTATCATCTCCATCACAACGAGAGGGATGGAGGCGTCACTGGGGATTGGAGCTCCTGTAGAACGTAGATCTGGAGCGCTCGGAGTCACTACACGAGTCCAAGATCGCGGTTCGCGAAGAAAAATATTCCTCTTTACTACTCGGTCAGAGAGAGAGCAAATGTGCTTCCGCCGATTAGTGTCCGTCTGACTATTCGACGGAAGCTCCGTGAGGTCTGTTTGCTTCAATTCAGAGTAAAATGGCGGTCGCCTTGCAGAAGCAGGTCTCTTTGCGAGACAATATGCTCGCCAATTTAGAGGCCACACTGAGTGCGAATGTGAAGTCGGGACGACAGAATACATCGCAAGAGACGGCAAAGCTCGTTTTGAGAAGTCTCACCGCCATCGTCAAAGACAAAGAATGGAAGAACGCCCAAGACTTGCTTCGAATCCTCAGAGACTTCGGGAAGAGATTGGTGAGTATATTTACTGATTTTAATTCATCAGCCTGTCTCGTATATTGGGAATACGATTCCTAAATCTCTCCCGACCAACGAATGCCGTCGACAATCTTCTTCTGGGCGATACCCGGCGTGTGCATGTTTGAGTCAGCCTGCAGCCCACCATCGATGCTCCGTAATTTCGTATTTGCCGGCATATTCGAACTTGTCTCCGATGTCGGAATAGAGACGGAAGATTCGCGCACTCCAGTGACGAAATCTTGACTTGGCTTTTCCGAATGACAGACACGCGGAAACGCGACTACATCTGAGTCATCCATTACTCCCGCTCATCTTCTCTGTGACCACCTCGGAGTGCACAGTAGATTCTTGGCGATATCAGTCGTTCATCGAGGCTTTCTTGTTGCAGATCGAAGTTGATCCGACGGAAACAGTGGTAGGCAACGTGGTGCGACGTGTCTTGAAGATCGTGCGAGACGATTACCTCCGGGTCCACCTGGGCCATTCGGCGGATCAGAAACTCTTGTTACCACACGCTGTGGATGATTACGCCACTGCGTACGTCGATTTGAAAGATCATGTCCTCGAATCGATCGATGAATTCGAGCAGGAAATTGACTACGCTCTGGACAACATCACCCAACAGGCAGATCGGCTGATCAATGATGGCGAAGTCATTCTTACCTATGGTGAGCTCGGCGACGCGGCGTTGGAAGAACTTCTCAACGATTTAATTCTCCGGGGTTCTCGCTCCTGTTTCAATTATGTTGAACGAGAGCACGGATAACGTAATTTTAATCACAGGTAAATCAAGAACGGTGGAAGCCTTCCTGAAAGCGGCGAAGGAGACCCGTTCGATAACGGTGGTCGTTGTGGAAGGAGCCCCGAAATACGACGGACATGAAATGGCCCGAAATTTGGGCAACGCCAACATCGCCACGACCCTCGTCCACGACTCAGCCGTGTTTGCTATCATGGGAAGAGTACACAAAGTGATCCTCGGTACCCATTCCGTTATGGCGGACGGTGGTTTGAAAGCTTACTCGGGCGCCTACTCCGTGGCCTGCGCTGCTAAACATTACTCGGTGCCTCTATTAGTGTGTACTCCTGTATATAAGCTCACCCCTCAATTCGTTACGTCGGAGGACCAGGTTGGATTCAATAAGCTGGAATCGCCCCAAGAGATCTATGATTTTGCGGACGGAGATTTCGACGAAGCAGAAATCCTGAATCCCACTTATGATTACGTGCCTCCCGACCTAGTGCCGCTGTTCATATTCAACGTTGGAGGGAACAGCCCTTCGTACGTTTATCGCCTCCTATCAGAGTTGTATCATCCTGACGACTACGACCTGAAAGGAGACGTCTGACGTCCTGTTGTCGGGTTGATCTTTCATGTAAATAAATTTCATCGTTGGACAGAATGCGCACGATTGAGCTCTGAGAGAACAGAGGACTCCTGGCGGCTTCCCGAACACAAGATCGAGGAGATGAGAGCGGAGCATATTTTTCCACAAATAAACAGTGTATTTGACACGACTCGTTCAAAAACCTTTCATCGTGTTTAGCGGATTCCATCAGCTTTGTATTGATTCTCACTCAGGCGTAGAGAGCACTTGAGCCTCGGAATACAAAACATACTCGTGACTCGAGACTAACTCTAGTGTCCCTCGACATATTTGCTACATGAAGCTCCAGATCGACAACATATGGTAGCAGCCTGGCTGCGGGGACGCGCTGATTCGATCACGACCAGCGGCAAAAAGCGTAAATTTATCACTAATCCTTGCTGCTCCTACGACACGATACGAGAACGACAGGCTTCGAAAGCAAGTGGCGGTCGGCCGTGCATCCGATGATTCCGCGATGACCGATCCCTCGGTTAATAACTCTGGTTTGGGAATCTCGGACAGAAATAGAGACTGGCGGTGATTGGTCGATAAGAATTGACCACAGATGGAGTTCGAAAATATCCAAGAGCGGGATAGGGCAGTTGAGCACAGAGGAGAGAATAGATGGTAGGAGAGGTACGATAGAATAGGGTCTGAGAGTGCGCGAGAAGAGCACGATGGGATAGCAACCCAGACGGCTCTGGGAGGAGGAGAGAAATTGACCCTGCGCTCCCTCCACGGGCCGGAAGGCAACTCGGGGATAACATCGAAGGAAGGTAAACAACGATTCGATGGCTGCCGTCAACTATCAGACTGACTCCAATGCTTTGCCGAACTTCCACATTGGAGATTTTTCCTATAGAGGTTCAGGTGTGAGGGATAGGATCGAAAGTATCCTTTGCACCTCGCAGGGCAGGACACACCGAAATTCGGCAAGATTCGGAATCACGGCCATGATGAACATAGTGCACCTCGTCTTGAACCGTCGAGCCTGATCACAGTGAGAAGAATGACAATGTCCCTTCCGTTCCTCTCGATATCTCATGAAACCTTCGGAAAAGTCCCGTAGGCCTCTCCTTCGTAAGTGAGTCTTGAAGGCAATCTGTGCTCCCAGTCCCAAACCCTTAGTTCTTGGCGAAGATCGAACTTCTCCGGGGTCTGGGACTGGGCTGCCATCAGGATTCGTAGAGCAAGCGTTCGTAGTGCGGGTAAACTTGAGAAATCGGCGTATGTAACGAAAACTCCATGGCTACCAGGACGCCGAATTCTGTGTCGACGAGGTCACGGCGATTCAAACGGAATCCCGATTCGATTTTCTCGATTAAGTTTTGGAGATCTTGCCCTTTGACATCATTGAGCTTAGCTGCCAGCATGAGACACGCGCCGGCGCACATTTTACGGTTTGGTTTGTTGATGAGGCATTTGAGTACGAGTTTCTCATAGAAAACATACGAATGCGCTACGGTGACAAGATCGACACCGCATTCAGTGTTGGCGATTTTGAGCATTTCTCGCTTCAGAGAACGCAGTTTGCTCAGGGTCAGTTTGATTTTCGGGAACTTCTCTCTGAATTTATCGTTCAGCTCTCTTTTGAGGTCCGACGGCTTCACGTAGTATATGATCGATGCGATATAAGATTGGAACGTCAATTGTGTCGAATGCCGGCCTACGACGAGTTCCGGAGAATCGAGAAGATGCGGATCGTACGCGTTGTCACAGACACAGAAGACGGACGTCAAGGAAGGCACGGAATCTTTCGAAAGAAAATCTGGCGACTCGGACGATTTCTGAGTATCTTTTTCTTCACTGCACACCGGACAGAATCGACTTTGTAACAAACCCGCGAAGGAAAGCTCCTGCTCTCCGTCTATGCTCCTCAAGCCTAGCGTCGAGAGTATGTCTCCCGAGTCTCCGTTGTCGGAAATCGTTGACAGCTGACGATTCGCGTTCTTCCGGGTCGATTCCAATCGCGACTGACCGCGACGGTTGTACGGAAGCGCCGAGAAAACGACGACAGGAGCCTTCTTCGATGACATGACATAGATGCGGTCGTCTCGGTGATGCGATCTCTGAGGCCTCAGCTCTAGGGAGCTCGAGTTATTTGAACAGTCCGAGAAACTACCGGAATACTGGCGCTGTCTCGATGTGCTTAAGCTTTCACAAGATCCATTCTTGGTGCTGTTGTGCTTGCGGCTCCTGAGTCCGGACGACAGTGAGCTCAAGCGGATCCTCGGCTCGATGAAGGAATGTACCCGACCCCGCTCGTCCGCCAGCGGGCTTTTTCCGAAGAGTTTCTCTTCACTGATCGTCTGATCTTTGTCACGCATCCCGAGTCGCCGGATGTCTCTGGGCATGCAGAGGGGGTGTGTTGATTCGACCTCGGGCAGAAAATGACCCAGGACGGTATCTTTGTGGGAGCCATCGAGAGATATATTGCGGAGGAAGACCAAAGCCTCAAGATGCCGCTGTCTGCAATCTTCCAGCGAGTGCGCTGACATCCTGTAAAGGGAACTTACGGTCAAAATCATCCAGCGTCATACGGAAACGCCGTGCGTCAATCTTCGGGAATCGGCGCTCACACCCGCAACGCACTCTGGGGGGAGCTAGCACCCGATTTCGGAGACCGCGATAGTCTGCCTGTCAACACCGAAGGAACAGGCTGTCCTCCGCAGAATTTGTTCCGATGGAACAGCTCGGGGAATTGGGGCCAAAACGGAATAAATTGATTGTCAAAACTCACCCAGAACTCAATGTATCGATTGCGATTTCATTTTGTGCGGCGAATGTGGGCTCTTCGGCATCCGATTGTCAACTCAACGCTGCGCTGTAGGTATACGTCTCAGATAAGCGGCGCAGAGTCAGCTGAGGCATCCGGACAGGAATTATTCTCGCGAGGCCAACTATTGACAGCTTCTCCGAGCTTGGAGTTCGCGAGCCCCCGGAGAAAATCAAAACTCTTCGGTCCGATCGTCGTTCCGACGGCGTCCCATGAGGGGCTCACGGATGCCCAGCTCAGAGGTCACCGGGGAGCGAACTGCTCTCCCGTCGAAGAGCGATTCCTCAACGCGAACAGGTTCCCTAGAAGGGCCCGCACTCGACGGCTCTGACAAGATCACGACGTCGCCTCTGGACTCGAATTCAGATTGCCCCACAAACGATCAGTGATTGGGAGGCTCGTCTGGGAACCCGGACGGGAAATTCTTGTGGCTTGGGATCGGATTCGATGTTGAGCCGGACGAGAAGGAAAGCGGTTTCGAAGTTTGGCGCGTAGCAGCCGCCCACGACCCAAACACTTCTCGAAAAGGCGTTCCGTTCGGACCATTCCTGGACAGTTCACGTTCATCTGGGAAAGTTTCAGCTTATCGGTAAGCTTCATCGACAAAGCTCAGTCTCATCGATTCTAAAGGATCTGCCAAGTTCGCCGAGTAGGAAACCTTTCCCGTGGTCGACTTTCGCATCGACGACGGGTCGACAACACCTAGGGTTGACATCGAAAGTGACTTAATTCATCGAGCAATTCGGTTCGCGAGGGCTTAACGTGAGGAACTCGGGCACTTTTTAGCTCGATTCTGATTTGGTTCCCGCGAGATTTACTCTCGACGAGTCTATGATGCAGATGTCATCGTTGTCAAGCATCGAGTTGTGAACGCTTCATTTCGGCTACGCTTTCGGGTGACCCGTACTCAGCTGCTGCATCAGTCCTCGATCACTTATTCTATGCGTTCTTGACAGGTCCGTGAAGAGAAAACGCTACGAAGAAAATGGAGGATATTTTCCATTGGTGTCGAGAAGGGAATGCCTTCCAGGTTCGCGTGTGGCTCGAAGACACCGAGCACGACATGAATCAAGGGTGAGTCATTTTGTAGAGTGGCCATACTCGATAAGTCCCTGCCGAACAGTGATGCCTCTCTTTAGGATTCATGGATGTCCAAGTCGAGCGCCAAAACGAGACCTAGAGAATCGCGTTCTTGACGCTCATGACATGCGCCTCACCCCCAAACTTCGGGCTCGGTTCGGTAGACTCACACTGGTAGTTTCGCGTTGCCGGGGTCGAAAGGAGAAACAAGATGTAGCTCTGTTTGGAAGGCATTCCGACACCGATCCATGCGCCGGTATCCTTCGGTATGAACTTTCTCCAAAGAGATAAGATGCTCCGGCTCAGATTCCGACTTCGCCCACTCCCTCCAGAATCTATCAACTTTTGGGCGTTGAATGCTCGATCACAGGTCCTTGGGAAAATCTAGGGTTTCTAGGTGTTCCTTGAATAGAAATCCAGTACAGTTCGCGGAGCCGTGCTTCACCGCTCAGGAGATTCGAATCTCGTTCTCAATACGCTGGAGAAACCAACTCCACACCTAATCACGTCCGATCTTCGTGCCGTTTCCTTGCCCGTCCAGCTGACGGATCGGACGCTGTAATGAAAGCTCACCGCATCCGATGTTCGAAAGGGTTGAACCCTGAACTCGGCTCTCAAGGTTGAATGTCAGAGCGTCACTATCGGCTTGGATTTTTTTATTTGTAGCAGAATTCTTCCCCCGGGGAAGTCCCCTGAACATTCGCGTTCGCCACGGGAGCGTACGATGACTACGATGAGCTTGTTCGCGTAAGGTTTTTAGCGTGTTCTGCCTCCGATGACTTGAGGATGCGATCTCAATGTCATCTTTCTGCGGTTCGCTCGATTCTTCGGTAATGATGGGCGACGGCGGATTGCGGCGTGGGGGAGTCGGCGGTCGGCATGAGGGTAGCCGCTCATTCGCTCATGATCTAGACTCGATGAGTTTCACCCCTCCCATGAGGGTTCCATGTCGGATGCATTGATATCTGAGTAGGCTGTGTGCTTTCAGGCGCGGAGCTGCTAATTAACATCGTGACCCCACTAACCACAACAAACATCAGTGAGCTTCGAGAAGCCTGATCGGGCGTCCGAGGACAATACTGTCGAAACATTATTTATCTGCTGCCCTCTGGTTCGGCGAACGTTAGATATCAGACTCGGCCGAGACCGTCTCTACTAGGAAAGAAGGAACCGCTGCCGAGGGCGCACCGTCGAGCCCTGCTGGAGAGGGAAATCGAGCGACCGACTCGGTTGGCTCGTCTATGAAAAGAGCAGTCGAGCTGGCTGACCACCGATGCGAGCCGTGAACGCGGAGCAGTGTTCAAGAGCGGAGACAAAGTGATCTCATGAGGACGTCAGTATGGTGCCCAAGCACATTCAGGACGACGAGTTGCCCGGCAAGGATGTCGCAAAGGAGTTCTACGCCCACTACGAGCCCAAGGAGATCCTGGGCCGCGGAGTGAGTTCTACGGTGCGGCGGTGTATCGAGAAGGACACGGGACGAGAGTTCGCAGCCAAAATCATCGATGTGTCCAGTACAGATTCGGCCAACGAGTCCACTTTTCTCGAAGCCACCCGTCGGGAGATTGTCATTCTACGCAAAGCCAGTGGTCACAACCACATCATCGAGCTCCACGATGTCTTCGAATCCACAACGTTCATCTTCCTAGTTCTTGAACTATGTCCACACGGGGAATTGTTCGACTATCTCACCTCGGTCGTCACCCTCTCGGAGAAGAAGACCCGTCACATAATGAAGCAAGTGCTGGAGGCAGTGGCCTTCATCCACGACCACGGAGTTGTTCACCGAGACATCAAGCCGGAGAACATTCTGCTCGACGAAAAGTTCAACGTGAAGATCACCGACTTCGGTTTCGCCGCCGAACTCGGTCCCACAGAGCCCAGATTGCGGGACCTCTTGGGAACGCCGGGTTACCTTGCACCCGAGCTTTTGAAAGCTTCGATGTACGAGAACGAACCCGGCTACGGCCACGAAGTCGACGTTTGGGCTTGCGGTGTAGTGATGTACACTCTGCTGGTCGGCTTCCCGCCCTTCTGGCACAGGAAACAGATGATCATGTTGAGAGCGATCATGGAGGGTCGCTACGAGTTCAAGAGTCCGGAATGGGATGACATAACCGAGACCGCGAAGGATCTCATCACGAAAATGCTCACGGTCGATCCCGCCAAACGGATTACGGCTCGTCAGGCGCTTCAGCACGCATTCTTCCACGGAGTGGGTCAGAGCAAGCAGAGTTTCAATGCGAGGAGGGCATTCCATCTCGCTTGCATAACTGTCAGGGCGATGATCCGAATTCAACGACTGCGCTTCACACCCGAAATGATCACCACCGACATCGTGATCAGGGAGCCCTACAGAATCAGGACCCTCCGGAAGGCCGTCGACGCGTGTGCCTTCCGAGTTTACAACCATTGGGTGAAGAGAGGCGAAGTACAGAACCGTGCGGCTCTATTCGAAAACCGAGCAAAATGTGATCTCATCCTTCAGAAAGAGATACGCAAGGAGCAACAGGCGTCGGCCTGAGCTCAATTCCCCGGAGCGACGTTCGAGACTCGTTGACACAATTCCAATTTATTGGACATGCGTGGACTTTCAAGAGCTAAGAATGTTGTGGGAGCGATGCTTCAGAAACTTTGTCGGTGTGGGGGCTTGATGAGCCTGATTCTCCCTCGGTCGATTGAAAGGGTCTGATCTCGGAAACGATGCAATGTCGGACGAGTGTAAAATGCTAATGACGTCCGAAGAAAACGTTGCGGTGGTCGAGCTCTGCATTTCCAATTTCTCTATTGTATATCTCGTGCTGTTCAACAGTTTGTATATATAGAATAACTTATGGGAGTTCCGTTCCCTTCAATAAAACTCATTAACTTAGCGCGGTACTACTCCATTCGAGCAACTCGCTTTGCCCTCCAAAGAAAGCCTCTTGCAGACTCTTTGTATCCGTATGTGACGTTTAATCCTATGCGCTTCGCTGTCTCCCATTTCGCTCTGGTGTGTCCTCTTCGCGCGTTCTTTTATCTCTCCTTCTGACAGGCACCCTTTCGATGCAAGGTCATCACGATATTCAAGCTGGATCGACTCATTCCGAGCTATTCTCGGAGTCAATAATTCGAAACAGAACACGGACGGTCGCTCTGAGCGCATTTCACGAGTATAAGTCATTTAATCATGTGATGAGGAACGAGATGACCATCGGCTGATTGAAATGCTACAAGGACGCAGGCCTTTGGGTGTTTGGCTTACGACCTCGTTTAAGGACGAGCGCGCTTCAACGAAGCTCGATCACCACCCCGTCCTATGCGTAGTCGAGGAATTCACTACAAAGCAACTCGGCACCGATCTTCGGGAGAATGTGGTGCCAACAGTCCTTCCGGTACGAGACGTCGATGCGCGTGGACCTCGAAAAATATTCGTCCGGAACATTCTCACCAATATTCGGTCGGGGGTGCTTTCCCCCCCCCGTAATCGATTTCGCTTCGATGTGGCCTTGAAGTCTGCGGTGAATTATTCATCGATTGCTAGAACTCGTTGGCGTCACCGAGAACCGAGAGTGACTCGCTTCCGCTTCCACGTATCTTATTGTAAGTATACGCTCGCTCGAGCAGGTGGTCGAGCCCGCGCTGAAATTAACATCTTGCAGCAGAACTTGATCATAGTTTCTTCTCCAAATAGCTCAAAGCAGGGGCTTGCCCAGACAGGCGGCCAGGGATCAAGCCTTTTCTCCTAAGTCACCTGGCCTTGGAAGCGTAATATCGGTCTAAGGGAGCCCCATCATCCCTCTGACCCAGTTTCCATCCTGAAACCCGAATTGTACCTGTCCGTTAAAAACAATCCTGAGGAACTCTGGGCCTTCTCGTGTCAGCGAGACCAATGCACACAGGGGGAATGCCTTGCGCTTGCTCCATCGACGAGAAGTCCAGCTCTGGTCCTCCGGCTTCTTTGCCGGATCGGAACTTTTTGCGATTGGTTTCGCTCAGTATCAGGACTTACAATGAATCGGATCTCTACAGAGTCATGATATGTGGACGTGACGCGTCTTGCTCGGGTTCGAAAACACCTCTCTACGCTGTACTTTTTTTAGGTCAGTCTTTTGACAATTTGACTTTCGACCCCAGTGCTGGTATCGCGAACCTCGTTCTCCGTTGCTGGCGTCTTTGAACTTTTCCAATCTAGATATGGAGCAGCTGGCACATTGTCGCCGTCGGGTCTGCGGGAGGCTTCTACCTCCAATGGAATTAGCTTCGTCTGGCCCTACGGACTTTGACTCGGTCCGGCTTCGAGGGAATGGTCAACTTTCGGCGTCCGAAGTCCATTTAGATCCAGTTCGCGGCGGGTACCACCATCGAGACGCTCGCTTCAGCAGCGGCTTATGCAGATATTTTCCTTGTCTTACGTAGAGAGCGGATTTCCCGCACTGTTGCATCGAGTCGACGTAAGACGACGGATAAGGTCTTGAAAAACACCAGGCTGTAAGAGAGACGGTCTCTCGCACCCTTTCCTTATCATCGATGCTCACGTTCTCTTCGGTGGAAACAGCTCCCGAGCCGGAAAGTCCGTCTTCGACGTTCTGGGGTGCAACCGACATTAACCATTCAATCTCCGCTGACTAATTGAGGCACATTCCGAGTCTGAGACCCATTTGAATTTCCAGGGACGATCACGGCTTCACCGCGCTCCATTGGGCGGCTAAGGAGGGACATGTGAACATTGTGGATCTCCTCATCAACCGGGGATGCAGAGTTAACGCATTTAATTTGGGAGACGATACGGCGCTCCATCTCGCAGCAGCCCACGGTCACCGAGAAGCCGTTCTAGTGGTCCGTAAAGCTCTTGGATAGCAAAACAGTCTCATACAGACGTTTTCGAGTTTCGGTTCCGGTTTCCCCGACTGTCCGTGACGGAGCCTTTATCAGGCCATTCACACGTATTTCTCTGATTTGAAGCTGCTGAATAACAAGGCGGACGTCAACGCCATCAACGAGCATGGCAACACTCCCCTGCATTATGCTTGTTTCTGGGGATATGGTCAAATCGCCGAGGACTTGATCAATGCCGGGGCTCACGCGGCCATCGCCAATAAGTACGGCGAGACTCCGTTGGACAAAAGCAAGGGTCTCGTGGCGGAGAAGCTCAGAGGTAAATTTCGGTCACAGTCGGCTGTTCTTCGCGCGATGCTACCATTATTTATATCATGCGAAGGGGCAATTTTTGAGAAGTATTCCGACGAAATATTTCCATCCAGATCTGGCGACGGAGAAAGGCCAAGACTTGTCTCCGATTGCGTACAAGGACTTCTCCTGGTCGGGCACGAAGACTCGCGCAAGAGATGCGACTCTGTCCCGTCATCGACACATACAATTGGAGCAGCTGAAGTTCTTGCAGAAGATTGCTGTCAGCCACACTGGGGAAACTTGGAAAGGAAATTTCCAAGGCAACGAAGTAATTTGCAAGATGTTGAAAGTCGGAAACGTGACTCGAAGGATCGAAAGCGATTTCAACGATCAATATCCGCGACTGAGGATTTTCTCCCACCCGAATATCCTTCCGGTAGGCTCCGTTGTGGGATCACCTTCTCTGTATACTCGATTCCTGTCTGTGTATTGCCTGATAAGGAAGCAGCGGATCCGATGCAGATTAGCAGAGTTATTGTTCAATGCAAATTCTAAATTGTGCAGGTCATCGGTTGCGTATCGCAGCCGCCTCATCTGATCGTGGTGCAACAGTACTTGAAGTACGGATCGCTGTACGACGTGTTGCATGGCAACCACCGCGAGAACGTCGTCGTCGACAATGCCCAAGCTCTGCGTTTTGCGCTGGACATCGCGAGGGGAATGGCTTTCCTCCACACTTTGGAGCCTATGATCCCGAATCTGTGCTTGAGTACGAAGCACGTCATGGTCGACGAGCTACTCAGCGCTTACGTTAGCATGGCCGACGCTCGATTCACTTTCGAGCAACCAGAGAAATGCTTCGAGCCAGCAAGCTACTCACCTGAAATTCTTCAGAAGAAACAGAGTGACATCAATTGGAAGGCGGCCGACATGTGGTCGTTCGCCATTGTTCTCTGGGAGTTGGCCACCCGCGAAATCCCCTTTTCGAATTTGCCACCAATGATAATGGGTTCGTATGCGATCTATTGCGCACAGCTTTTCGGATGTGCCGCGACTTCGGATCTCCCCTCAGATATTATCCCATAATTGATACGCTTATACTCTAACAGAAATGAATTTCTTGTTGCAGGAATGAAAATAGCGACTGAGAATCTGAGAGTTCCTATACCTCCTGGTATCTCGCCCCATATGGCTCGTTTGATAAGAATCTGCATGAACGAGGACCCTGGGAAAAGACCTACGTTCGAGCAGATCATACCGATATTGGAGAAAATGGTCGCGAAGTGATCCTCGCTGACCAGCATAATCGCCGAGACACGTCGAGACGAGGACATCTATTTCTTTAACTACGGAGACTAAATCCGCCTACTGACCCTCAAAAAATCAGTTCCTCCCCCTGTTGGAGTGCCTTAAATAACTGAAGTTTTCCGGAGATTCCGGAACTATTCCGCTCACCTCGGGCGGAGCATATAGACTTCGGAATGACTGACACCTTGTTGAGAATGCATTTATATCCTAACTGAGGACGTGAATCTGGGAGCATCGCCTACGGAAAGATTCGGGACCGGGAACGCGCCCCTTCGCGGATGGAGACTCCTTCTCCGCTATCAATGACTCATTGAACATTAATAAAATGACTTACATACATAAGAGTCTTTTCATGGGATCGGAGCGAGGAAATGCTTTCATATACCGTAATGATATTCGGGCATTGGTCTCTCAAGGCCGCTAAATATTCAAAAGCTCGACATATTCCTAGTACATCTTTTCCACAGCATACCCGACGGAATACGCGGGTTGGGATTTGGAGAAGGTTCTTCTTACCAACGACTTGCCGGATGAGAGAAGGCCGCAGCGATGCACGTCGACGAGCGCTCGATTATCCATGAGAATAACTCAGTCGATTACAAGAGATATCGTCGAGCAGGGTGCGCGGAGCCGCGCTGTACCTTTCGCTCACCCTTCAGGCCTCGAAAAAGACCCCACGGAAATCAAGGTTTCCCCTCTCGGAATAGGATCGCCTCCCGAGCAGGCGGACACGTCGCCCCCCCCCCCCACCTTGTCGCATGAAAGAGAATCGCTTGCTACTGGCTCCCTGTATGAATACGGGAGAGTCTCATGAAGGTTCAGTTCGTCCAACGATATCCGGCGATGACTTTTTTTTACTTAGCCGTTTGTGAGTGAATTATCTGGTCCGCCCACGGAGTCTCACCATCAGGATAGGATAACTCTACTCTGACCAATTCAACGCCCGATCATCAGTGAGCGACGCGTGAAGAGCGAATCGATCAGTACTTCCTTCCAAATTTTGATATTTCACTAATTTATTGTGGAAAACGCTGGTGCCGTCAGTCGGACTTGCTCGAGCCGTCCGCGGTCTCGCCCATGAGTATGGTTCTGAGCAAGATATCAACGACGGAGTAAGGATCACAGTTTGAGGCAGGTCTCCTGTCCTCAAGATAGCCATGACCGTCCGCATCTACCTGTCTCGGAATTCGGATGGAAGCGCCTCTGTTGGCAACTCCAGAGCTGAACTGGTCGATCCGCGCGGTCTCGTGCGCGCCGGTTAGTCGTCTGGCGTTGTCGACCCCTCCCGATGGATCGTATGCCTTGATGTGGGCCGCGTGGCGTTTGGAAAGCTTCTCGATGGCTTCGTTGATGGCCGTCATGCCGCCTGGATTGCGCATAGCTTCTGTCGAGAAGTTCATGTGAGCCCCTGCCCCGTTCCAGTCTCCTTTCATCGGTTTCGGATCGAACGACACGACTATTCCGAAACTTTCACCCATCCGCTGCAGTATGTATCTGCGGACACGGGAGCGAGCACGTAAGAGCTGTAACGATTCGGAGGAAATCCTATTTCGAAGCAGAGCGCTTCCATACCTGGAGATCCATAGCTGATCAGCAACATCGATTCCATCACACGTCCCGATCTGGTACTCCCACTGGGAGGGCATCACTTCAGCATTCGTGCCGCAAATGGAGAGGCCGCAGTAAAGGCACGCGCGATAATGGGCTTCGACGAGGTCGCGACCAAAGACTCTGTTAGCGCCAACTCCGCAGTAGTACGGACCCTGAGGACCCGGGAATCCTTGTTTCGGCCACATGTACGGATGACCGTCGGTGTCCAGGAGAGTGTATTCCTGCTCCACACCGAACCATGGCTTGTGCTCCCTGCAGGCATCGGAAGCCTTTTTGCACGAGTGACGTTTGTTCGAAGGATGAGGCTTTTTCTCCCAGGTATAGGTCTCACACATGACCAATTTGTTAGGGCCTCCCAAAAATGGGTCCTTGTAAATGGCGACTGGGTACAGGTAGACGTCGGAGTTCCTGCCCTGAGATTGTCCGCACGACGATCCATCGTAACTCCAAATCGAGAGATCTGTAGGCGCAAAGAGGCCGATAATCCATTTATATATTGTGCGAACACCTCAGACTTCGGCACGTAACGCTCTGCAGAAATTCATCCGGAGAGTTATTCGAAATACCTTCAGGTTTCGATGGCTCTTTCGAAACGGTTTTGGTCTTGCACCGGAGACCTTCACCACTGCCGTCGATCCAGATGTAGGTCACTTGGACCTTATCCTTCGGCTGGGGCAGTGCGAGGAAATTCCCGAGGCCTGGCCTTATGCTCTGCTTTTCGGGCATGCTTTCTTCTTCAGAGGACTCAACTGAAAGAGAAATGGACTTGAACTTTTCTCTAGTCCGAATTCTTAGCTTATGCCGTCCTGAGCTCAACTCACAGAGTTCAAACAGCCATCTCATCGTTGAAGACTCTACGCGGTTCGAGTTGGAGGCGGGAAATCTCCCCACCGAAAAACTTTTCTTTCCAAAACACAAACAAGCTACCTCAGCTGGGGCCCGAGAACTCTGTCGCGTCTACCTCCAGTACTCGGTGGAACCTTCAAATCAAAACCCACGGACAATGAGACACGGGGAAGGATATCGATCATGATCCTTCTCAGCGAAGCGAATCGCTTCAATGGTAGAACCCGTTTCCCTACAGTCATAGAAATTCCACGAAGCATGTGAGCAGCAGGGGATTACTGAGCTTGGCTCTCTTGTATTGAAAATCAGGGGGGGGGAGGAACAGCGGCGGGTAGTCGACAACCTCATCCTCCGGGAAGGTAGAGGGAGCTAAATCACGTCTGTTGGGGACCTCGCTCAGGCAGTTGACAATACGAACGGAACCGTACGAATGCTTAGACGATACACCGAGTCAGATAGACCCGGCCGAGAGTCGGGACCTCGAACGATGGGGCCGAATATGAACCTCATCGATCGTCCCCCAATAAATTTTCGGTCGAATCGGCGCGCGGGCTCAGAACTGCTCCTTCCAAAACGGATCAATCGCCGGCCCCCTCCCCGCCTTACCGAGAAAAATTCTGGATCCGCCTGTCTCGGGACTACCCGGTCGACTCTCGAGTCCGTGGAGGTTCCGATGACCTCATTGGAACGTCATTGCGTTCGCGAGCCAAGCGGACCCAAGTCATCACCCATCCGAGACCATGGAAGCTCGACGATGAAACGGTGGTCTACCCCACAGTCCGAATCGCTTTTTCCGCGCAGAACCAAGGAATTTCATCCGATCCAGTTCCTCCAGAAGAGATCGGATTGATTCTTGGCAGAGCTCCCGACAAGGAAAGACGCGAAGAATGGATCATCAATCGGAATCTCAACGCTTACGTACCTCGGATAGGCGCGGCTCGATGTCGCTTCTTTGTCTCCTCCGTCGAGCTCCGCTCCTTTAAGGAGACCCCGTCGGCTGCTCTGAACAACCCCTACTGTCTCGCGAATCCTGAGTGGGAGACACTCTACCGCTTGGTGAGTGCCAGACTCAAGAATTTAGACCTATCGATTTCGTTGTCTCCTTAGATCGGAGCGCGTTCTCATTGAGATAAATTCACTTTCCAGCATTTTTCCTGGTGATTTTCACTCGGCTCCGGAATAGTTCGGCCGAGCATCAAACGTTGTCAATAATTCGGCTTCTCTTCTTGCCTTGCTTGAGTCGTCAAGCTGTGGAATCCGGCAGAGTGTTCCCCAATGCGCTCGTTCTTCTTCCGAGACGGATGTCGTACCGAATCCCGACACCGGAGGTCGCGATTCCCGACACCGGAGGTCGCGATTCCGGTCCGTTATTTCCATACGCTTCGTTGGGCCCTAAGCTACGAGATATTCAGGAAATCTCAGAACTGTGGAGTACCGATAATTCAATTTTTTCTGGAGGCCATGTTCCGGATTCCGGAGATGCAGAAGTTTCGAAATTCGGTTATACCGCAATAACTCCACGTTCGATTCACGTCGGCGAGGCAAATATGACCTGAGCCTAATCACAGGTCGATTATCACCAATGTCTCCGCGTATAGTGTTGCAGGAGCTCGACACCGGGAGACTCTAAACCGATGGGCGCCATCGATACGGCGGATCGATGCACCGGAGAATCTTCATCTGTCTCCGCTGATACTCCAGAGACCCAGAACAAGAGGGAGGAATGAAGAGCTCATTTGAGAATCTCGTACGCGAGCTTCGGGGAAATTGGGGAAGTCAGCAAATTCCTTCTCCTCGCTTCCGCGAATCAGGCTCGATTTCGCGCCGGATCTCGACTCGGATCGAGAGGCTCTCGCGACAAGATCCGGAGGGAGGATGCCCTCCTCCTCCTCATTCTGACTCTGGCTGTTCCAATATGTTCGGTAGTCCGACATCGTCGATTTCGCTTTGGGAGGCCCTCTGTGATCCAGGGCCTTTGCATACGGTCCCCTTAGACACCCGATAGCTAGGGACGCTACATGTACGGACATTTACGCACATAAGATCCGCCTGATTATCTCATCACTGGCGCACAAGAACTAAAAAACGTTGCTATCTTGCAATAAGAATCGAGACGGGGATCGAATTCGAGAAAAGCTTCCAGCATCTCTGGTGAGCGGCATCGGTCGCCGTCTCGCCGAGCTGAGAACGCGGTCTGATTTGCGTCGCTCGATGGACTCTACCCCCCTCTCATGTCGATTTGAACCTCTGAAACCGGACAATCGCCCCGAAAAAGCCTGAAACAGCGGACATCTTCCACGTTACGGCCCAGAAGCGAATATATTCCCGCTGGTGGCTCAAGTTCCAAATCCCAAGAATGCCCCGGAGTCACGTATATTTTTCGGCCCGATGATTTCCTCGATGCGGATACGATGGTATCCCGACGGCATTGGAAATTATCAGGACAGTGTTCGCTTCTTCAGCTTACTGCTCAGAGTCAGTTCTCGGGGAAATGACTTCGATGTACAGCATCCTTGGCTTGGAGCGACCATCGAACCTCCGAACGAATAAGACGAGGCGCGCATTTGCGGAGAGTCCCAAAGAAGCCGCGGTCCTTGTTCGGAGAGTCCGTCGAGTTCTAGAGATGGCGTCAGATCTGGATCCACCGTTGTCTACAAATGTGGAAGCAGGGCTTGGAGAAGCAGCATCGGCTTCACTCCTCTATCACAAGGAGCTGTGGATCAGGGATGACTATACTCGATCAACATCGCCTCAACGTGAGGTGATCAGTGATCATACATTCTACGAGGTTGGTGACGAAACCGGGAAGCACGCGATCGACAAACTCAATGACCATGAGACCGAGGTCAGCTGATGCCTTTCATTCCGACAAATGACTTTTTCATTGAGAATGATGGGTTGCCCCTGCGCGTATCCCCGCATTGGCTGGAAATGAGTGTTTTACCCGCCCTGCCGGATCATCGGGGATGAAGGATTAATGAGTTCCAATGCGAGCAATTGGTTTCCAGCGAGACGACCGCGACTCTCGCAGTCCGTCGTTCCGTCTTGGAGGAATGAGCTCGAGTGCTGCTTCCAAGTACAGGGGAAAGGAGCGAACTTGAAGTTCTTGGAATCGAAAATGAGCGTGAGCATGCTTATCCGTCGCAGAACTCCAAGCATCAGAGTCGATGAGGCGGGGGCGGCGCGGGCTGGAGGGGTTGCTTTTTTCGGGACAGCATTCTTCCGGTTGACATTGGAGAATAATGCTAGGGCAGGATTCTGTGAGAACACAGAAATCTGATCACTGAGGCTGGGAATAATTCACGGCAATTTTCTCGAAAATTCTCGGCCATTTTCAGCCCCCATTGACTTCCTATGGAGAATCGCCGGAAAATACCGTGAAAATTCACGGCTTTTGGCGCGACCGCCCCATTGATCATTAATCTGCTCATTATATAGATTTGCAGACGTGGGACTTGGACGAGGGTTCCCACAGAACCCGGACGTTCATCTGCACTCGATCAAGAACGGTACTTGATTCCAGCAACAGACAACACTATTCATTGATCGCAGAAGTCTCTCCGCAGTTTGAGTGGCCCGCTCTACGGTGGTCCTTTAGATTTATTCTATCCAGTGAATGGAATCGTATTCCATTGCCGTGTGGACCTTCCGGGTGAGGGATCCCGAGATCGACTTCCTTCCCCGCTCCTCCGACGACTCAGTTGGGGCTCGGGTAATAATTTTCTCACCCGGACTCCGTGGCTTCCCCTCGACTATCACTGGCACAAGCCCCTTGAACCCGATTTGTCACAGGGAAGCAGCGCAAGAGGAACGTCACATGGATTGTTGTTTATTGAAATGATCCACAATTTCGAACAGTTTCAACATGTACGCGTCCGATGAAAGTCATCTCGTAACAAGGCGGTGATAAGCAAACAGTGCGCAGCGATCCCTCCGGATTCGCGAATGATTGACGTTGCCTCAGGAGCAGGGTCCTTGGAAAACGTCGACAGGTAGGAAGAAAGTAGTCATTCCGATTCAAAGGCCGATGATACAACTGTACATTTCCGCATCATTCACACCAGAAATAAATGTCGACTAAAGTTTGAATTTCCTCAGAGGGTATGTGTGCTTAATGTGCGAGAACCCTCAAATAGTAGCGCAGCTCTAAATCGAACATGCTGTCCTGAGCATGCCGACGCATTTCGGAGGAGCTTTATTCGTTCAGACAACATGTTCTGAGCATGATGTTGACGACGGAATACGGATCGCAATTCGATGAGGGCCTCCTGTCCTCGAGGTAACCACATTTGTCCTCATCGACCTGTCTCGGAATACGGATGGAGCAGCCTCTATGAGCAACCCCTGAACTGAATTGATCGATGCGAGCGGTCTCATGCGCTCCGGTCAGACGTCTGGCATTGTCCCGACCCTCGCTGGGATCGTACGCTTTGATGTGTTGTTCGTGACGTTTGGAAAGCTTCTCAACGGCCGCCATTATAGCCGAGATTCCACCCGGGTTCCTCATGCTCGCGGTGGAGAAATTCGTATGAGCCCCGGCACCGTTCCAATCGCCAGGCATCGGTTTCGGATCAAAACTCACGACGATACCGAAGTCTTCAGCCAATCGCTGCAGTATGTATCTGCGGAAGACATTTCGTAATGGAATCATATTGAAGAAAATTCCAGCCACGAGTTTTTATAAATTACTTTTGGAACCCGGATGAAACACCCATCCCCCCGTTTTTCCCAGCACGCGTGAATGAACGGAAGACGAAGGCATTACCTGGAGACCCAGAGCTGATCCGCGACGTCGATTCCCTCGCATGGTCCGACTTGATACTCCCATTGAGAAGGCATGACTTCTGCATTCGTCCCGGCGACGTTGATTCCAGCGTAAAGACAAGCTCGGTAATGAGCCTCGACGAGATCCCGACCAGACACTTTGTTGGCGCCGACACCGCAGTAGTACGGTCCTGTTGATGGGTTGAGTTTAAGCAACTATTTTCGGAGGGATCGATTTCCGCCACGTGAACCAAATTTATCGTCGATCATCCGGTTGGAATGACGACCTCGATCTGTCGACTATCATCCGTCGATACCACATTAGCTCTGTGGACAACCAAGGTCGTCAGAACGATTCGTCGAGTCGCTTGCGTGGAAGTATTCCCTTTTGTCTCTTTCTTCTGGCAACCAGACCCATTCATAATAGAGTAGACAACACCGTCTGAGATGCTCTGTACAGATGAGCAACTAGGATATCGAGTAGCGATCTTGATTTCCAAGACGAGTCTCACGGAGACGGACGGCAGTCGAGCAGATGTTTGAAAGAGCGGGAAATCTATGCAGCTTCATGCAAAACGTCGAGACAAAGGTCGGCCCCCACGCTCGAGTCGTGCTCCTAATTCGCGAGGACGCTCAATCGCGCCGAAGATTAGCCAACCGAGCCAAAAAACGTGAGGACAATCTTCCTTGATGCGGCAATAATTTGCCGTCATCAAGACCTGCGTGAATGTCAGAGTGGACACCGAAGACTCATGTACATGAAGAAATTCGCATGCCCCCAGAAAACGAGGATTGCGTGCGGTTTCTAATCCGACGAAAGAATAGTCTCGACGTTTGTCATTAGCCGGTGCCTCTTCAGCCGTTCGTTCCGGTGAGCCAGTGTGAGCGCAGGTTCCTTCTCAATCATCTTCTAGATGAGATTTGATAAAGACCGGTAGGACGGGAAATGTTGACGTTAGGCAAGGACCTGAGTGACCTTTGCTTGCGAACGGACAATTCGTAGGACTATATCGAACGAGAACTTTTCGAATTACGAACGACTCGACTGAGCTTCTCGAGATAAAGGCTCCACGCGCGACGGCAGATAAACCGCAAGACGGTCCACAGGGCGTATTGATAAAGCAAAGATCGAATCACATCATCGGGATGGAAACTCTTAATCGAATCGAAGACGGAGATTCCGAGCGAACATGTCCAGTCTATTGGCTCGGAATTTCCGAACCGCCGGATAATCTGGGGCGTCCTCCTCCGGAAGCTCTTTCCCTACCTTGAGGTCCCGGGAATCCTTGTTTCGGCCACATGTAGGGATGACCGTCGACGTCGAGGAGAGTGTATTCCTGCTCGATTCCGAACCAGGGTTTCTCCGCTTTGCATGCCTCTGCAGCTTCGGCACAGGGAGAGCGCTTATTGGTGGGATGTGGCAGCTTATCGAAAGTGTAAGTTTCGCACATGACCAATTTGTTCGGGCCACCTAGGAAGGGGTCTTTGTAAATGGCGACAGGGTACAGATAGACGTCGGAGTTCTTCCCGCTCGATTGTCCGGTTGATGATCCATCGAAATTCCAGATGGGCAGATCTGCTCCGAGAGAGAGGTACGAATTAGAGAGAAAAAAACACCGGGAAATTGCGCAGTCGCTCGGAAGAAGGCTGGCGAGCTGGTGCGGCTGCCTTCACGATCGAAATTACTTTGTGAGACTGCCAAGGAATTCTACCCTGAACTGAACGGCTCAATCAGTGTGGGACCGAGCGTCCAAAGGCTGAAAGTCACCAGAAAAGCCTCTGAAGCACCGGAGAGCTTCGAGTCGGGAGAATAGCGCATCCGAACGACAACGCGGCAAGCATCGAAATCTATCCTATCGATCTCGATAACGCCTGCGGCATCGCTCGCGCGCCTTCTCATTCTGTCAGTCGGACATCGTTTGCAATCGCAATGTTTGCGGTAAACAATCCCCGCGCGGGACAGTTTTTCATTTGGAGGAGAAAACAAACCTCTCGGTTTCGTTGGCTCTGCGTCGACGGTTCTCGTCTTGCAGCGGAGACCTTGGCCCGTACCATCGATCCAGATGTAAGTCACCTGAACTTTATCCTTGGGCTGGGGGAGCTCAAGGTAGGACTTGAGGGTCAACTTCGCTGCGTGGTTGACGGACATCGCACTGTCTTCAGCTGGAAAAAGCAAATGGAATCTACCATTACGGAAATTCCTGGCGGAGGCTTCTGCTTCAACCCACTGAGTTCCACGAGATAGCTCACATTAGCAAATGCATCGCTTCAGGATCTACGCAGTCCCAGCTGTTCGTTCACCATCGGCTCGAACTCGAAGCTCTCTCAAGAACGCTCTCTGTCAGCCGCACTTTCTCAAACGAGCCAAAGCTCGCCTCACCCGGTGAATTTCCGCTTCTACGTTTTCTACTCTAAGACTGCTGCTGGTGCTGCAGCGGATATCGATGACTACCGACGGCTCATGCGTTCAGAGCCTGCAGCGAAAACACGGCCGCATGCGAAAAACTCCCAGAACGCGCGGAAAAGTCTCGCACTGCTGCGTCCGGCAAGGACCGATAAGGGAAAGCCAGGAAAATCAACTTACAGCGTCAACGATATGGAGGAACATGGAGTATCCAGTCGATCGCGCGATATATAGCCGAGGCGATTCCGTGGATTGGGGAGAGAGAAATTCGGAAAGAAGGTGAATTTTGTTTGGAGTTTCTCCTGTCGCCAAGAGAGTGACCTTAAAGTGGGAGGCAGATCTTGAATTTCACTCAAATTGTTTCGCGTAAGCAGACGTGACACTCGAGCATTGTCGTTATCAAATAAAACAGCTCACTCGAGTTTTACGACGTGGTATCATATTGCTCGCTCCGAACCACAACTGCTCCCCCGATCGCGACTCGGTCGTGAGAATGCCGCGGCTAGAGTGTCGCGATGAAACCGTCGAGTCGAGATCGATAAATTTCCGTGCGCTGCTCAATTCCGGGGCATCGCTGGCCGCTGCGAACGTACCGCAGGTCTTCATCCATCGTCCCGGGGCGTGATCCTCAAGTTTTCCAAGCGGAAGCGCTCGAGCCGCGGCTTCGCAATTAAACGGAGCTCCTTCCGCGGAGGGGATGGACGGAAATCGCTCTCGGAATGCGCGTGACACTCCCGAGAGGCTCTTTTCTATCCCAAACAAAGTCAATTCCGAGCTGAGCTCGCGGTATGTATATCGACGGGCTGTGCGTTGTGCTCCATAGTGATTGAGACGAACACCGGGGAAATATCAAACAAAAAATCGACGAGGATCCGGAGATCGATTCAATTCGATTGCCCCGCGTCGAGAGCTGGCGTATGTTCGATGCAATGATTGCAATGTCCGCCTGTAATGATATTCCTTGATTCGATTACGGATGAGTTAATCTCATCCGCTCGAACGGAGGCTACCAGCCTATTAGGCCGATTCAGACTGTAAAACGCCAGCGGAGACAGGAGCATAATAAAATCGATTGCTTCTGCTCCCGAGTACCGTGAACGCCAATCAATGTAGTTTGCGATGAAGGAGGGAGGGCCGAGGTAACAGGAGATCTATTCATCAGCAATGCGGCATGTTTTCGATTATTCGAGGAATCCGTGAAGAAAAAACTCTACTAAACAGCCGACTCCTCGACACCAGGCGGGTCTGAACGAGCGTCTCGATAGCGCGACTTGGAATTCTCGATCTCAATCTATAGTCGGGATACCTCTTGAGAGTCGCGATGAATCCCTTGGATTTTTTTCGAAGTTCGTAGGCTATAACTGCTCTGGGTGCACGCAATGCGAGATCATTCGCTATCAACAGATCTGAGAGATCTCCATCCATGAATGAGACCATACGGAGAAGGCGAATCGGCAATTTTTAGACTTGGGTTTTACGACATGCACGGCAACACGGAGATTGTGCTGGTCGACATTTATGAGCGAGAATTGGCGATTTCTTCCCCCCGTTATCTGCAAAGCCCGAGAACACGCAAAGAGTTCCTTTTCCGGTTCAATCCTTTCATTGATTGCCAGCCATTGACCATGGAGAGTTCATCCAATGAAGCACCTTCATTGCGCAGCTCGAGAGAGCCCTGTGACGTCTGGCGGATTGCCCAGCTTCGCAAGTGAAAGGTGACGGCCACTCTATTGGTTTTGATGGGAATTGATTAGCGATTTCCTCAAATATTTCGCTTAGTTAGTTACGAGTGCGCAATACTTCGGCGGCAGTCGTCGTCGTCTTCGTCTGCGTTGTCGTCTGTGCCCAATTCCAGGGAGTTCATCTTGACTCATATGTGTTTGCCAGACGGCCGACCGCCAAGCGCCGACCTCTTGTTTAGATTATCTCCCTGATAGATAGCGCGAGCTACGTACTTTATCTACCGCATTCCTCCATTAAACAGATAAATGACGTGTTCTTCAGAGCCAGGACCCAAGACTGGGCACTACCTCGAATGAGTAGTTCCGTTTTCGTGAAACGGAACCGAAGTTGAGGTTTCGGCGGCTCCTTGATCGCTCCTGAACTTCCCAATCTCTTCACGAGCGTCCTGTCGAGCCTGGAACCCTGATGCAAACATTCGCGGTGCAACCACGGAATCGTGATGAATGGACCGGGCACGGTCCAGGTCCACGCGATCATTTGACGCTGTAGAAATTTCTATTCCAGAGCTACCAGCGTATCGGCGATGCCCTTCTCCGGTTCGAATCGGGGTTTGAATGAATAGATACTTCGTCTGACGATCCAGCTCCCGCTCGGTGTGAAACCGCAGCCAACACTTTTTATTGGAAATTGTCACTTGTGAAACTGAGGCACATACATATGTGTCGGATCGTTCATCAACAAACCTTGCGGAACCGGATGTCTGTTGGGGGAAACCTCCTCCAAAAAAGTTCCCAAAGCTCCCGTTTTGATCCCTTTCTCACAAAACTCTCAAAATATTTTTGTGAGTACAGACCGGCATCGAAGGATATTCCCGCTGTTCTGGAAAACAGAGTCCGCATGGAAAGCGAAGGAAGCCACTTCTCCCTCGACTCATCGGATCTTTTCCCGACGATAGATAACCGGTGACTGCGCACTTCGACGACGCATGCACACGAGGGAACGACTAACGAGAGGGCGAGAGGGGATGAATGTTTCGCCTCTACGGTTGGCGGTCAGGAGTGACGACAGTCTCAGCACAGTTGCCAGAAGCAACATCGCTTTCCGCGCACTGCGAGTCTGGTGAGGAGGTAACGAAGCCTGCAAGCGACCGCGTTAGCGATCGTGCCGGCGAGGTCAGCCCGTGCTGTATCCGCTGTGTCCGCCCTATAGAATGGACAAATGACAAGGTTTTGTGCTCGTTCCAGAACCGTGCGTGAGATACGCCGGCGAATAAATGACATTTTCATTGGATCTGATACGTTTCCTTCCACCAGAACTAAAGAGGGCCTATCGAATGGTTGAGTACCTCGGAGGATCTCCGCACATTGGCATCAAACTGAGACAAACAGATTTCTGTCGGTCATGTTTCCCACCGAATTCACATGAGCCAGTGCCGACAGAAGAAATGATGGCACTTCTGTCCTGAAGTGCACGCATCAGAACTCCCTCCCCCAAAATCGGAATCGGGAACGGGGCTCACTGGTCTCCGTCATGGGTTCAAAATCCAGATTCAAAAGTGAGGCCTGTTGCGGACATCACGGATGTATTATATCACTCAGTTTCGAATTGATCCGAATCGTGTCTCTCTGTGACGCGACAGGTTAGCCCTCCTGCAAGTCAATATTTACTCAGACAGTGATGATTCGACTGTATCGGCCCGGTTATTATCGACAGGTCATCGACCGGAGTCCGATGTTTAGATCCAAGTGATTTTTCTTAGAAGTTTCGCTCAATATTCGGTCTTCGATGGGAGGACAATTTATATCACTCATGACGAAGAGTAGTGTAACTTCACCGATATGGAATTTTCGTCCCTATGCTCGGATGATGAGGGCTCACTTGGAGGTACGAAAGAGAAATGGTCTTTTGTCTCCGCCATCAATTACACTGCCCGACAGCCAAAACCCAACAGAATAGGTGAGACCTAGGTTGGGGTAAATGGGGGCCGTACATTCCGAATCTGTGAACAGTTTTCTCGTATCAGGTCTAGTTTTTCCGTAAAATCAATTTTTCGGATTTTCGTGATTTTTTCCCTCAAAATTTTTTTTTCCCTGCTTCACGATGAGCAAGATCCACGAAAATTGGGGAACATTTAGGCCCATCCCAGGTCTATCTCTTGTTGAATTTTCGTGTGATTCGGAGCACCAGTCTCTGAGCATTTCGTGGCGCATGCTCTAAGACGAGGTCGCCTTCATCGACTCTTCCAGAATCGAGAGCGAGGTCCCAAATATCTGAGGATCTAAAATAATTCTCAGCGCTCCGCTTTTCCGGATTGAGCGAAGATTGGGGATTTGAAGTTCTCGCTGCCGGAGCCGATTTTTCCAACCGAGCCGTTGAGACGGGGCTCCATATACCGTTCCCGCAGTCTGGGTACGGATACGGGCGCCCTCCCGGATGCGTCCTAAGGAGCAGCTGCCGGCGCAAGTTTTCGGAAAGCGCCCGTTCAGAGGCGTTGGCTGCGAAGGGGTCGAAAAGATTAGAGATTCAAGCATATGCATCAAGGGTTTGGGCGTATCAGCATTTGACGGAGAAAAGCACTGACGACGGATTCGATTGGAATTCCGATTATCGATTCCGTTCACGATATCCTTCTTGTCATCCCATCTCTTGTATCATTTCATTCACACCCCTCCATCGTTTGTCAGCCTAAGACGATGGTTCCCATCGTCATGAGAGCAGATATCAACCCTCGACGCCGAAGCTCGCTTGCGATCAGTTTCCAACATCGATTATATTACTCTGAGGGAGCACGTGTGTGAGAGGCTCCCGCGGTCCTGAAATCCTTGAAATTGATTTTCCTTGATTATTATCATTTCATCATCTTGTGACGGTTGCCAGCTCCGGGAGGAGTTTTCGCATCGTTTGTGATACGGTGGGATACTCGGTCCGGGCCTTCGTTTTGCATTTGCGAGGCGGCCGAAAAATTTAGCCCTCCGTGAGTCAGAAAATCGTTCGGGATTATTATATTTCTCAACTCCACGACGAGTTTGATACCACAATTATGGCTCTCAACTCGAGATAAGAGAAGGGTGCGCTCCCGAGAACTTCCCACGGTCACGCCCGAGAGGCATGGATAAGCTTCGGGACCGGCTCCAGCCAGGATCGAACACGGCCGTCGCCGGGGATTCCCGACCTTCATAAACGGGTCTACATGGTTCGAATGATCGCTCCAGGGCCAGAGGATCCAGAGAATGAGATTGCGTGCCCTATGATGCGCACCGGTTCTAGCAGAGGCTTTCGTCGGCCTCTTGTCGTGGTGGAGCCTCGAGATGACTCCTCTGTCTAGAAATGGGGATGCGCAGTTCTCTCTCCCAGACACCCGATTCGATTAGCTGATTATCTGTCCGTTCGGCGACCGATCGATTGCGTGGAGCTCTCGAGGATCCATGTAGACGGGGAGTTTAGCGGAACACTCGCTGAAGCAGAAGGTTACGTCGATTCACTGATGTTCCTGCATGCGACGACCGGTGAAACTTCGAAGTCTCGAGAAGCTAGCTCGTAAGAGCTCATATCGACCACAAAAAGCTTTCTTCCCTGTTTCACTGCCAAGTTTCCCGGTTTGAGCTCTCGTTCTCCTGAGATTCCGTTCATTGCCCCATGCCTAGGGAGATCAAAAAGCCCGTCACTCCCAGCTCTCGATATGAATTAGATCACTATTAAAACTCTAATGGGGGCCTGCGTACACGCGTAGTCGGCAGCCCTAGAGCAGAGTTCTTGGGCGATTCGGCCTTGGGCCGAAGTTTTGAATGACTGAGCATCTCTGAAGTCATATCATACTAGGGTCTCTTACAATGACTATGCGTTCCATGAGCCTCATGGCCAGTCGCCGCGTGGAGACGTTCAGAACATTTAGGTCGCTAGCTATCGCTCATCATTGGGCTAGGGTCCGCGGATTCAGATCCTAATTCCGACTGTCCGGAGGAATTCCAAGCCAGCGCTGGTGAGGGTATACCGGTCATGGCCAAGATTCTCACGGAAACATTCAAAATTGACGTGCTAGATTACAGGAATGAGTCTGAGGAAATTCAAGTAAAAGGGTGTGCTCTGCAGAAATCCATTTGCTCTGACCGACACACTGGGAGAGACCAGTAGCTGCGTGAAAGGACTCGTGAACGTCCCGACTTGAGCTGTTGGAATTCCCTGCGTTCTTCCGAGAGGTAAAGCAATCTCTGGGAGGGGGCGGAAGGGGAGCTGCCTTGGAAGACCTCCCCGAGTTTGGACTTGGCATGCTCGGTTGCTATTTGGCTACGGACGACTCCGTAGGCAGACGGGAATCCACTTTTGCTCACGGTTATATACGTACGAAGAGACTAAGAGTATGAATACTCTTACAAGGTATATGAATGTCTATATAGAAAAACACGATGAAAAAAAAACTATATAAATATACATTGTATACATATACTCTGTATGAACACCAGGGAGAACTTGCGAAACATCACAACGGAGAAGACGTTCAATAGAAACGACGTAAATTTAATCTTTAGCAGAATGTCTTGAAAGTACAGTTGATGACAACCGTGCATGCAACGGCACAATATGTTTATTTTTACAGCGTATTCGAGAGAGACTAACTACTTTTCGAGACGAATCTTTCCACCGTGCTTTTTCCGTCAACGAATTTCGTGCGGAACAACACGTTCGCGTTACTGAACAGACCGTCTTTGAGAGACACTATGATGAACTGGGACGATTTAAAATGATTCTTGATCATCAGACCGATGTTCTGTGTATGAGCCAAGTCCAACGCGGCGTCCACCTCGTCCAGGATGTATATGGGCGCCGGTCTGAACAGAAGTAGGGCCAGGATGAGCGAGAGTGCAACTAAGGATCGCTGGCCCCCGCTGAGCTCCGATAGGGACTCCTTCCATACTCCTCCGAAAGACACCTTCACCTCGAGACCGTCGAGAAGGGTTTTCCCCGCAGGAGGAACAAGTTTAGCACTCGCACCTTCCAGCAGAGAGGTGAAGATATCGCCGAAGTCCTTGTTGACTTTATCGTAGGCGCCTCGGATCGTATCCTCCTTTTTCATGTCGAGTTCCCGCATCACATTCATGATGCTCTCCCGATCCTTCTCGACTTGTGCTCGCTTTTTCGTCAGATCTTTGTACTGGCTCTCGAGCTGGAAAATTATACGAAGTTGGATATTAACAAAAGTTGGTCTCAGATAGCCCGGCGGAATCGGGGAAAAGGGGGAAGTCTGAACATGATTCGGTCTTTCTTCAGAGTCGCTTTCTCGAATCGGAGGAAGGATGAAAATTTCGTCTATGGAACATTGCATTATCGTCGGGCGCGTGTCACTCCTTTGGCTGGAGACGGCTCCGCTGTCTCCATCCACGGAATACTCACATTATTGGCTTGGGTATGCGCCCGAGCGTTGACGGTTTTGGACATCTTTTCTTTTTGCGAGGAGAGTTCGGCAACTTTCTTCGAGACCTCATTCGGATCGGTCCGACTGAAATCGTAATCCGTGTTCGGTTCTCCGAAATGCGCCCTATCCTTCGATATCCACGGGTGCTCCGACGCCATGCGACGGAGTCGATGGTCGACATCCGACGATTCCTTCCGCTTTTCCTTCACGTCGTGCTCGGTCTGCTGGATCTCTAATTTCTTCGCATCTATCTGCTTCTGCTTACGGTCGATTTCCTTGTACCTGCGAATTTCGAGATTGTACATAGAATGGGGACACTCGGCACTAGTAGCTCGCTCGCCTCCAGCCAGAATGCGACCATACGGGTGAAAGAACCTACCTCGAGCCGATCTCAGACGATTGAGCTTTCATCTTGCTCTTATGGGCTTCAAGCATGGACTTCGCTTTGTCTCTTCCCTCTTTGATGCCCGAAAGCTTCTTCTCCTGAGCTTCGTATTGCTTTTTCAGTTCAACGACAACTTCATTGCAAGCAGAGATACTTTGCTGAGCCTCTGTAAGTAAATTGGGAGATGATCGCCGCGCTTTAGATTTTTCCGCTCTTGCCATTTAAGATTGTGGTTTAATTCTTTTTGTAACAAATCGAAACGCTCACCCTCTATTTCTTTCGTGAGCACATCTATATCTCCTTGGAGTTCCTGTAGTCGCCGTTCCTCGGCTCCGCACTTTTGAGTAGCAGCTTTGACGATTTTCTCGTACTTTTTCAAGCTCGCCTCGGCCTCTTTCTTTTCTTTGTCTTGCTGACCTTCCGTGTTCTTCATGCGCAGCTGCAGTTCCTTGATTCTCGCGTCGGCCGACGTTTTCGTCTCCGTCTTGGCTTTAAGCGTGACTTTTTTCTCCTCCAGCTCTGCTTTTGAGGATTCGACTTCTTTGCTGAGCTGAGCGTGCTTCGTGTTCGCGAGGCGGGCTTTGCACTGTTCCCATTCGTTGGTCCTGACCATCAATTCCTGGTGTATCTTGTTGTAGGTGTCCGCTTCGCCTTCCATCTGCTTCAGAGCCGTTACGATTCCATCGTAACGCTGTTGGAGCTGAGAGAGCTGTTCGACGTCTTCGCGTCTTTTCTGCAGCTTTTCCAGAACGCTGGGTCCGGGTGCCACCGAACCACCGCTGAGCATTCCGCTCGGATCGCAGGTTGAACCACAGATGGAGAGAGTTTTCGTGTTGACTCGTCGATCGTAGGCCGCTTTCTCGGCAATGTCCAGCGACGCAGCCACGAGGGTCTTGCCGAAGACGTACTTCATGCACGTCTCGTAGCGCTTGTCGTACTCGATCAGATCGACTGTTTTGTGGATGTTCTCGTCGCCGACGAGTTGCTTCGCGCTCCTGATAGTTTGATCGTCTACGAACGATCCTCGAACTTTGTTGAGGGCGATGATGGTGACTCGTCTCTGGAGTCTGCCGTTTTTCAGAAGATCCTTCGCCGTCTCATCGCTATCAACGATGACGTGGTAGAGTTTTCCACCGGCCGCGGCTTCAATTGCCCGGTCCCATTTCGGATCCCTGACTTTGAAAAGCTGGCACACGGGACCTATGACCTTCTTCCGGTCGAATCCGGGATACGGATCGGAGTAGTTGAAGACCAGGTTCTGGTTTCGAGCGTCGAAGTTATCAACGTTCTTCCGGAGCTCGAGGAGCTTCGGGGCCAGACTCTGCTTCTCGCAGTCGAGTTCGTCGAGGCGATCCCGATCGAAATGGAGAGCATTGATTCGATCCTGCAGCTTTTTCACGATTTTCTCTTTGTCGTTTATCTCGTTTGAGTCCTTTTTGAAGTGATTCTCGGTAGTGGTGAGCTCTTTCTGCGTCGCTTTCAACCTCCCCTCAAGATGCTGGATGGCGTGATTTAGCGCGCGGATGTCATCGGCGCAAGAAGCGGATTCAACTTCCGCCTGCCGTAGCTGTTCGGTGACAGTCGCCGCGACACCCTGCTCGTTGGTGGTCATGCCCATAGCGAGAGCCTCCAGGTGTTTCTCCGCCAGCTCCAAAGCTTTCTCCGCCTCTTCTTTCTCGCGAAGCGTACCGCCAACCGTGCTGTTGATTTTTTCAATCGCGGCCCGTTTGGCTTTTATTTGCGTCTCGGCATCTCTTGTGATTTTCTCGTTCTCCTTGAGAACTTTTTCTTCGCCTTGAATCTGTTCCCTGATATGTTTCAAGTCGGACTCGCACTTTGCATGCGATAATTCGACCGACTTCAACGCTTCTTCGAGACCCTGAAAGCGGATTCGTTACTCTCGACGAGAATGCGTACAACGGAATGGCATCATTAGCTTATTCGTTCCGAATTATTGGTGGCTATCGATTTTTGCATACCGAGAGTTTGGCTCCGCATTCCTGGTCTTGCGTCTTCTCCATCTCAGCGGCCTCGACTTTCGCTCTCTCGATGTCCGCTTTCAGCTCTTCTATTTTGAGTTTATAATCTTCGATATTCTGGAGGAGTTGGTTGGATTCTTTATTCAAAGAATCCAGTTTCTTCTCCGTGCGTACGTATTGATAGGCCGTGTGAACCTTCTGCAGCTGATCGAGTTGACGGCAGACCTGGAAAAACGAGATGATGTGCTCAGCAGATCGGAATGGTAAAGAACCTCGTGGATGGAACGGAGGACTGGAAAGCCCGATTGGATCGCCATTACCGCATTCGGATTCGAGTTTCGCCCCCCGAAGGATTTTTCAGAGAATCGTTCGATAAATCGAGGAGCTCTGTCGATTCGAACTGACCGTGTTGTACTTCACAAACGCTTGCCGCTCCTCAGCCAGCTTCTGCATCTGAGGCTCGAGATCCTCGCGGAGAACGGTGTCGATCTGCTCTAGCTTCGCGTCCTTCTTCTCGATAGTTCTCTGCGTGTCGCGTTTTTTGTCCTCGTACATTCGAGTCCCGGTCGCTTCCTCGAGCATCGAGAGGATTTCGGGTGGTTTCATGTTGAGCACCTTCGTGACCCGACCTGAAATCAGCTACGAATCAGTATCCGAGTCCTCTCGGACCTGATTTTCACTTCATCGAGCAAGGCATCCGCTGGGACGCGGATCCAAGCTCTCGGGATTACCTTGCATGATCAGAAAATGAGGGTTGTTCACGTTCAACGAGACGGAACCGAAGAAATCTTTGACTTTGTTCGATGGCACCACTGTTCCATTGATGAGGTATCGGTTCTTCCCTTGTTGTTTATAAACCTGAGAGGGAGTTCAAAATACTGTCATCAAATCAATCGAAAAACGTGCGAAGGAAGGTATTTGCCATTGAGGCAATCGAATCGATCGCAAGATTGAGGACTGATTCTCTTCCTGTGCCTACCTGACGGGTGATAGTTATTTCTCGGGACGATTCGTACCCAACGGGACTCTGACTTTGGTTGGAGTTATCGAAGACGATTGAAACGGTGGCCCTTTCTATGCCAGCTTGTCCACTTTTGTAGATAAGCTCCTGAAGATTATTCGCTCGGACGTGGGACAGGTTAGTGATTCCTGGAAGGGAAGTCAGCAGTGTGACAGATCCATCAGTATGAATATTTCCCTCATCGTCCAGGACGCGTATGCGATGCATGGGAATGACTCCGAAAGTCGACCGAAACGGCACCTCCCCCCTTCTGCCCCAGGGACCCGGAACTAGACACCAGCTGTATTCTGCGGGGAGGGCTGGTGGTTTTCAGGCTGGTGAGCCTGCGCGTAGCTTCAACGAGCAGCCCTCACGTCACAGGCGAAACGCGCGCCAAAATTTCCGTTGGGATGTCAGATCTTTTATCGCGAGACTTCTCATGTGAGCGGAAGTAAGATTCTGTCGCTGTCATCGTGAGCTCCAGAAATTCAATTGAAACTTCAGACTAACCTAGGACGAAGCAAATCGAATCCAATATGTTCGATTTCCCCGAGCCATTCAAACCAGTGATGGCGTTGAAGGAAGAATCGAAATCTGTGATTTCGGTTCGAGTCGCGTACGACTTGAAACCGTCGAGGATAATTTTCGTTATGTACATCCTTGCATAGAGGATGGGTTCTGCGTTATCGCACTCTGATGACACTCGCTCCGGACAGACAATTTGCCGTAAAAAAATACCGCCAAACAACTCATACACTAGCTAGCTCAGCCGCTAACTTCAAAACAACGAACCGTTCGGGCGGGCGCATGAGAGGAGGACTGGCGCCAAAATTTGAAATCGAGCGGTTTCGTCGGCCCACGAATGGAATGCTCCATCGAGAACGGGGAGCTGGCGGAGGAGTCGATAGAGTCGAAGTCGGGTCTCGTTCCCCGCGGATCGTTCCAGGCAGGGGAAGCTTCCATTCTTGTGGGGCTCTTCTTGACCTGGAGATTCGAACGAAGGCCTCGCTGCGTACCTATGTCTCCCGTGAAGCTTGAATCGGCTCTCGGGACATACGTTGTTATGCCGATTCGAGAGGGGCCCGACTAGGAATTCCGTCTCCTTGATAATATGATCGGGATCTTCCTCTCCTGAGTACTCTCGGATGCAGCGGTAAGTAGTCGGCAGGGCTAACTTTGATTCCTCTGATCGTTCGCGCATTGCAAGATGTTTCCTGCGATGTCATTTCTCGATATCCGACCTGCCTCAATATTTTCTTCATGACTCGTCGAGGATTCCGAGACCCGACCCAGATTCGCGGATACGAGGCCCCGCTCATAATTGGAGAGATCCTCCGATTTCGGAGCATCTGCCGTCGTGGGTCCATCCTGATCCGGAAAAACGACTTGACTTGTCAATCTCAACGACGACGGTGCGCTCATCGATGCCTCCTGGGGAAGTAAACTCCTCGCAGAATATCGCTGGAATCGCGACGTGTCGCGGTGAGAAAACTCGCGGAAAACCCCGAAATTCGATTCGAAGTCGAGGCAAAGGAGGAGCAAATATTCCTGAGAAGTAATATGCCTTGCAAGTTCGACCTTCGTGGCGAGTCTAGATCCGGCCTCGTCTCCGAGCTCGTGCCGGCCGGGTCCCACCGAGCCCTGTTCAGGTCCGGAACACCTCCGCTTCTCAGGGCCCAAGTCCACGATCCAGGAGGAGATTCCTTCAAGTTCCTTTATGAAAGTTCGATTTATTATCGAGGACGAACGAAATAAATACAATCCTGCTCATAGTCGTATCTACTCGGAAGACTCCCGATTCTAGGTGAATTCAGCGTAGGGGGAGAGGTAGAGGGCAAGCTATTACCTCTATCATGGATATCTCTTGATCAAGAAATTTCGAAGCCCTCTCTCACCTTCCAAATGCGATTACATGTATGTCATGTATGACGGGTAACGTGTCTAACTTCAAAGAGGATTGCTCTTCGACGAGCTCATCTGACAGGTTTCGGGTCAGTGCCCGCAGATGCTCGCTTGAAACCGACGAGTTGGTCTATGTCCTCAGTTCTACAGCTTGGCGCGTCCGGAGATGAGGGTGAATCCGTTTCAATTCATGACTCTATTTCCTCTGAAGGTCCGACCTTGGCCATAAACAAGAGAGGTCACGGCATTGACGAGACTTCGGAATCGGAGACCATTATCATCTGCTAGTAGGAATCAGACTCCAAAGCGATTCCCCGTCTTTCGCACCCGATTTCTCCCCACTGTTGGACAGGGGAGATGACCCGGGACAAAATCATTGGTCATAAATCATGAGTACTGGTCATGAGAAAGCAAGCTCTAGCCCGCACTCCCACGCGGACATGGCTAGCGCGTCTCCGCTCTGGGAGGAACGATTGCGCTGCTCCTAAGGAAGCCTTTTGTTCAGCAATACGAAACGTCCAGAGTCTAGAGAGCTCCGCCAGCTGGGGACGTTTCATAGTGAAATATGAATCTAGAACTCAAAGCTGTTTCCAAATGTCAAGGGAGCTCGTTGACTGTCTCGGAAATTCGTGTCTTGTGCTTTCACTAGTCCCGGTCTCGTTTCGCTGCGTCACGTTGACGGAGTTCGCTCAAGTGTATAAGCTCAGCCGGAAATCCTATGCCAGGATTTCAACGTCGGGAATGCGTTGGATTTGTCAGGACTCCAAAGCAGATCCCCCGCCGGTGAAACATTTCGAGCGAATGTCTGCTAGAGTTCTGGGACCCGCTTCTCTGGACCTAAAAAACTGCGTTCGCTTCTACATGTACGGTGGATCCCTCGACGCATTGATTATTCCGCCGCAGATGCCTCTCCGAATAAAGCCGACTACCGGGGAACGGGATTCTCTTAGGTATTACGTCCCACTCGACTCGGCCCACGTGGACACATGCGGACACCTGTCTTTCACAGCCGCTGTCGACGGCTCGTCATCCGAGGCGCTCATTCATAAATCTATGTCGCGACGCTAGTGGCACCTCAAGAGGGAATGGCTCGCCGAGAGGAAAATGATTTGCCAGACAATCGAGGCTTCCTAATGTCAGTGAGACTCGGGTGACGAACGAAGAGGGCAGCGGTTCTTACAACATTTTGGTGTGGGCTACGACGGGCCTTGGATTCATAACACTCTAAGCCGGACGACAAATGATGAATGAGTTCTCTCCGGCACCTCTCTCCGACAGTTCTGGAGCTCATTTTCTGACGGCGATTCTCTCCAAGCCTCATGTCGTCATTTGACGTACGAACGACAATTGGCACTGTCCCCAACTACTATGTATCAATACTACAGCGATATGAATCGAACATGCCTCAGCGCATCAGCTTCAAATGATCGCTGAGATTACTCAGAGGGCTTCCCCTCCGATTCCAACAGCCGTCAAACGCGAGACTCCGCTTGACATCTCGACCGTCAGCTTCCAAATTGAGTCGATCCATTCTCCCATACAGGGCACTCTGACTGGGAGATATTCGGGTGGACTAAAGTATGTACATGTCATTTCAATTTTCGAGCTCCATCATATTTTCCTCTTCAGAGGCATCCTGAGGTCTCCGAAAGAGGCATCCTGAGGTCTCCGAAAGAGTCCTCAGGCGCGCGACAAATGACTTCGCGCTCGCCCGGAGTGATTGTAGGAACAAGCGTTATCTGGGGGTTATACTTCTCGGGTCTGGTCCTGCCAGCCGTGGCCTGTGACACCCTTCATCCCAATCCATGTGTGACGGTCATAGGCCTTTCAATAACCCCGAGCTTGGAGCCGGAAGCTTCACCCCGTCGGGGATCTTTTCTTTCGGCACGTAGATGAGCACATCATCTCTTTCATAATCGCGACTGAAGACTCGTCATAACGCATATCCGAACTGCCTACGCTCCTGAGGAGCATGTATCGGGGGCGAGCTCAATAATAATCGCTGGTGAAGCTTCTGACGCACAATTACCCCGTGGAGATCGTCGGGGTAGAGAGAATCGTTCACATAGGCTGGCATTAGATGATCTCCATTGTGCTCGTGAATCGATTGTCAGAACAGAGCTACGCCATACGGACAGCGCTCGACTAAAAGCATCAGCTTATGCTCTTGAGGCGCTACTTATTCAACTCGTTAAGTCAACTTCTCCTAGATCAAGACTGAGAATCGTTCCACAAAGTTCAGCGGCAGCCTACTGAGCTGGAGCTTATCTCAGAAGAAGAACACGTGACTGGAAATCTTTTTGAGATCTCGTTCTGCTCCACTGACGGAGACTTATCCCGCTTTCGGTCCCCCATCAGCAGAAGAGATCAGAAAAAATAAGTCTTCGAAATGAAGAAGTCGCTCCCTCGCTCGGTGAGTAATTCGCATGCGCAGTTTCTATATTCCATGTCCGCGCGGGAGACGGTTCAAATGAACGAGTGGCAGAAAATCATAGGGAGATTTTTGCGTAAGGGAATCACGGACCAAAAGGGCAAGTGCAAATCGAGGATAGATGAGCCCTCGCGACACCGCTCCGTCTGCCGTTATTGAGCTTTTAGCGATGCCGCCACGACATGATGATCGATTCTGATGATGACACGAGACTCCGATTACGAGAGACACTTGAATCGAGCGACGCGTGATGATTTGCGTAAATTTCGTATTGGAGGGCAGAGTTCCGTATCCCGACTACTGGAAAGGCAGCGTGGGAGCGATGCTCGGGGCTGAATCGTGGCTGAAATCCCCGTGGGGTTTGGGGAGCCGTACTCGCTTCATTTGTTTCCGATCAAAGTCGGCTCCCGTATACAGTGTTGATCGAGTCCTAACCAGCCTTGAAATGAATCGAGGTGCGGCGGGAGCAGCGATGTGGCAACTCAATGAAGCGATTATTCCGAAATTCATTGGAGGTTGTCCGGGATTCTGCATCTGGCTGCTCGGCTCAGGGTCAAGAATTTTATCGGGTTGCGAACCTCGAATCTTCGGAAACCTCCCGTCCGGTGATCCATGATTGCAGCTCCATCGTCGGGTTGAGGCTCCGAGTTTTTGTACCAAGAGAGTCCTGAGGTCCGGCGAAGGACCTCGAGACGCGCTCATGAATAGGTCAGTAGCTCGAGAGCGAGTCAGGAGCTGAAGGGACGGGATTCAGGGAGATAGCTTGACCTTGATGCAAGGAAGATTTATTCAGGAGAGAGCTAGGAGCTGCTATCCTGAAACATCCTGCTTTGTAGAACGCTCTCCGACAGAAAGTGAAATCTCGTGGGGGATCTCCAAGCTCGCCCGGGACCCCGATTTAGGGATCAGAACCCCAGTGCAGTCCAATGGGAATCCAACAGGCAAACTCGGATACTACAAGGACCGTTTAGGAGTACAGACATGACGCTCCGGAGTCATCTTCTTATGCTCATGAACGCAATGGCGGCGTGTTCCTGACAGGCGACCGCATCTGATCTTGACATGACCGGAGAGGAGCGGGCATATTCGATGAACATTCCCCCAGACGCAAGGCACCAGACCTGCGGAATGGGTTGTGACTTGTGACCGACTGCCCGACGCGGTTCTGCCATGGAGGGAAGTGGTTGGCTCTCGGAGGAGTCCCACGCTGTACCGTATTCAGCGAGGCTCATCGCCGGCACCTCGAAGGCTCAAAACTTGCTCGGTCTTGGCTGCCACGTATTCAATCAGCTCCCCATCGGTGCGGAATATGTGCGAGAATACTG